GCTGAGTCTGCTGCTGCTGTTGTTGCTGAGGTTGTTGCTGTTGCTGAGGCTGAGGTTGTTGCTGTTGCTGAGGCTGTTGTTGCTGAGCCTGAATATCCTGTTCTTGTTGCTGTTGCTGCTGCTGCTCAAGATGTCCTTGTAGTCGTTCACGAAGATTTTCTGTACGTGGTGTTAGCATGTCCCTTTCGGACTCCACTATGGGTGTCGTTCTGGCGTACACGTCGTGGTCATATGTTACACCCTCAAGTGGCATTGTGTGAAGAAAGATGATGTCGTGATTGTCCGTGACGTCGCCTGTCTCGGCGCTCAGCCCAATGTAGTACTCATTCTTATCCATCTTAAGGTGAAGGTCGGATACGGTGGTGCAAAGCGCTTCGTCCCGCTCGCCATTGCGGGATAGATAGATAGTCAGAGCGCCCCTATCGTACCGAATCCGTGCCGTGGAGAGCAGCGCCGAGGTCTGACGGAAAGCGTATCGGCAGCTCCCTACATATTCACCCCTGAAATCATTCTGTGGGCTGTACTTCTTATTCTGCGAGCTTCCGTCGTTGAACAGCACATACACCGCCGGATTGTCCCGGAGGCCATCGTTGTCGTACGTGTCAAATATAATGCCTATGCCAGGAAAGCTCATTGGTGTAGGCATTATAGGGCTGTTGTGGCTCAGCTTGTTTGTCGTGATCCACAGCGCAAAGCCATCAGCGCCGGCGCTTTTTCCATGGACATGAAACCCAACGACAATCTCAAAAGAAGGCATGTCCAGCGGCTCTCTGTTCCAGACATACCCAATCTGTCCCCTACGGTCCGCCGTCAGACGAATATAACGATCAGTGATGACGGCGGTGCCGCCAATAGACCAATGCAGCAGCTCGTCCTCGCCGTAGTAATTGCGCAAAAGCGGTGGGGAAAAGGAATGGTGCTCAATCACACGCTCCGAAGTGCGGTGGTGCTGTTCCGTCGTCATACGTGGCCCTTCGGCCACGGTGGCACTTGATACCAACGCCGCGGTCATCAACACGAAGGCGACGCTCCACAAGAGCGAAGCCAATGCTTGTGACGCCATAGGCCTCCCGCCGCAGAGTACCCTTCTTGCCGGTGGATCTTCAGCCAAAGGCTGCTACTGTCAAACGGTCCTTCGGTTCCTGCTTTTCCTCTTCGTTCAGTCCGCTCTGCCCGACAAAGGGAATGTAGAGTATGTTTATGTTGGACAGACTGGAGTCCTGTCGAATCTTGTTGGAAAAAAAATTTTTTTTTATTATTATTTCGCTACTTTTCCTTCGCCTTCTCTTGGCCCTTTTTTGTAGGCGCAGTGTTTCCTAACCTCAACAGGGACGGGAGGAACATGCACAAAACCCACGCAACCCCGTTACACACAGAGAGAAAGGGAGGATAAAAAAAAAGGCCAGAAAAGCGAGCATACACTCACCAAATGCATGTATACATATAGTCCTGTGGCGACACTTCCTCGTTCCCCACCAATGGGCCGTCACGGTGCTCATGGCAATGACAGGCGCATTTACCCCATTCAATTCGTAAAACACATATCTTTGATCTCTTTTGACGAATAATATCAAGTTGATTGGCGGGGCAATGAACGTCATAGTCCTATTGAAGGGAAGAGGAGAGAAATAGGGGTAAAAAAAAAGCATTAATAGGAATAATAATAGAAACAAAAAGTAAAGGAAAGGCAACCAATTCCTAATTGTTTAACAACTGAAGAGCGAAAATGAGCGGTGGCGGTGGTGGTGGCACACCTCAAATGCATGTAGGTATATAATAATACGGTTGTATGACCACTTCTCCGTGTTAAGGAGCATATTCCTTGACGCATCATTTCTTTTTTACTTTCCTGCTCCCCACCTCCACCCCTCATTCACGTACAGACTGACACACCCACACAGTTGCCATGAGGACACGTAAAGGCAAAGTGATGATCGCAAAAGCGAGCCAGCATTACCACTGCGCCAAATAATAATAGTAAGTCCCTCTCCGCCGAAGACACTTCCTTCTCCACCTCCTCCTAAGGCACATCGATATTCTCTTTGCTTTGCTTCCGTTTTTCCCTTCACTACAGTCGGAAACTGCGCCACCCCACAATCGCACCCCTCTCACGAGGACACACGAACATGACCACTCATTGCTCCTTGCGTGCGTAGCCGCAACTGACCCGTCTCCCATCTCTCAAATATATTGCTCTTCTTCGCACCATTGCCCCCCCCCCCTCGCGTCAAGATCGGTGAGGCATGCTTCGTTGTTGTTTTGGCTGTTTTCACCCGCCTTGTACTGTGTGTCAAACCAAATACATGTTATATGAGAAGAAAGAAAAGGTGTGGACTCGTTACGATAGGGCGGGGAGAACAACTTCCCGCGCCTCTCCCTATCTATGTCGACGCTCCTCAAACACTGGCTTCCACTTCACCCCTGGCGTCATTCATACAAACACGTGTGGGGCCCATAGAAACATACATGGGAAAAGATTACGAGGAGTAATACAAAAAACACCACCCAACGACGCACGGGCACAAGGCAGAGGGGGAAAAAAAAAACGACAGGATGCCAAAAATTATATATATATATAGAGAGAGAGAGAGAGACAACACACACACACACACACACACATAAATGAGTATTTGGGCACATAGATGCAGGCCTCTATGATGCATGCATGGAAACATACATATGTATGTGCATGCCTGTGTGCCTGTTTGAAGCTACGATGCCGCCGCTCCCCCCTCGCGAGTAGCCATTTCTATTCGGTATCGTGCAATCTCCCGTTGCAGGTCCATGTCCACCTCTATTTCGTCGTCAAATGTCTCACCAGTGAGAGGATCCACGTGACCAACACGATGCACAACCTCCTGTAACGCGTCCAACTCAAAATGATGACCGTTGCGTAACAATACAGGCTCACGCATCAGTTTTTTCGTCAGCATGCAAACATACCTAGATGGATGCTTGATCTTTTTCCTTGGGTGGGTTGTGCCCTGCTTCGTCTCAGAGTCCACACCCTTCAAAGTTTGTGCCTGCCCGGAGGTGGTGGTACTCGTTGCAGCTTCCCCAGAACTCGCGGTGAGCGGCACAAGAAGTGAGATATCGCCAAGAAGTTGACCAACAGCCAGTTCCATCATCAGTATCTGCAGCATTTCCAGTTGCTCCTCCAATACCTGTACCACGCGCGCCTCCTCATTGACCATTTCCGCATCCTTAGCTTGCAGCCTGAGATGCAGCTGCGCAACCGAGTCATTGCCAAGGTCAAAGTACACTGAAGTTTCGTTTGCGAGACAATACGTGAAGGCTTGTGCCACCGTGAATTGCGCCCCAGGGCGTAGCGGGCTCTTGTCGGTTGAGATCAAATTTATCAGTGCAGTGAAGTCCGCCACCAGAACCTCCACCTTGACAGCATTCACGTTACACAAACCCTCTAGTGTGAGAACGAGAACAAGCATACCCATGTACTCCTTGAAAAGTCGAGACTCCAGTTTATGCACCTGCCGTGTCAAGGCCCCGAGTGATGACGCAAGTGTTTCGCAAGGTGCCAGCACTGGTCGATAGAGGGCAAAGCGTAACAACCGCAACACGGCAATGGCAACATTCATGAATGGGTTGTTCTGCGACTCCAGTGTGGTGTCGCAGGTGGCCTCCCAGCAACAAAGTGCAAGGCGCAAAAAAGGTATCACTGTTCCTCCAAGAAAACTCTGATGCTGCGCCATAAAAGACTGCTGATAGTCACGCACGAGATCCATCCGTTCGCAAAAGTCGGCTAAATTCAGCAACATCACTGCCAAGTAACGGAATACCCCCAAAAAACGCATCGCCACGCCGTCACACACCGCGTCTGTCACAGAGATTTGGCCTTGCAGGATCGGATCAAGCCCTTCTTCACGCACAGCGATGGCCCAGCGTGCGTCAAACTCCTTAAACAGTTCATGCAACGAGTTATGCTGAGATAAGTGAATGAGCAGCACGGCTATTTTTTCTTGAAAGGCACTTATCTTTGTGGTCTCAATGGGATGATTGTCGTCTGGAACGGCAAAGTAACTTGCAGGGGTTGTCAACTCATAGATGCAACGCACACAGGCCTGTACGATGCCCCACTCAAGCGATCGATTCTTGATAATCTCCTGCAGTGCCGACATCAGTCGGACGTCGTCGCCATTGTATAATTGTCTTAGCAGATCTCCTGCCTTGAGATGCGCGTAACCACTGCAGCGAAATAACAACACTGTGAGCATCTCTTGTTGAGTCTTAACGATCTCCGGAGGCTGAGTTTCAAAAAACTCCTCAAACGTTTCATTCAGCCTCTGGACGGCGTCAAGTAAATCCCCTGTGCAAAACCCAACGTTGGGAACGTGCGACAGGGAGTATAGACATTCCAGAGCCAAAATACGCGCGCTAGGATTCTTTCCGCCATCATTCGCAACGTCCACGAGCTGTGAGAGCACCTTCTGGCATACAGAGCGGTGTTGATCGATGAGGGAGAGAGCAACACCCGGCTCTGTGAGGCTGGAAGCTAAGCAAGCGAGCGCGGAAACACTTGTCGTCTCGGGGTCCTGATCCACAAAAAATGTGATGGCGCCATGAAGCGACATAATTCTCACTTTTCTTTTCTGGTTTGCTTATAATTTCAGTTTCTTTTTTTTGTTTTGTTTTGTTTTGTTTTGTTTGCTTCCTCCTCAGTTTATTTTCTTCTTGTTTTGTTATATACAGGTAAATAACTCTTATTTGGATTGGATCTCCCGCAACGGAGTTTATTTCCCTGCGGTGGGGGTTGTGTAAGGCAGCCGTGACAAATGTCAGTGATGCATAAACCGGGTGGAAAGAAACAACAGGGGTTAGCAAAAAGAGAAAGAAAACAAGAGGGAAGGAGAGAAATCTGTATAAGACGATGCCCAGCCTAATCTTAGCCGCACCTGCGCCCCTCCTCTTCCTTCTGCCCCCACAAAGAACAGAACACATCCCCCTTTGAAGGCACTGGTAAGATACATGCAGATACGCGGCATTTTCTCACAGGCAACTTTCTTATCCTTCTTGTTGTTTCCCATTTTTTTTTTGGCCTGTTGTTCCCGCTTTGATTCCAACGGCTCATGTGGATGTCATGTCGCTGAAGGCTTGTCGCCCCCCACTCCTCCCCTACCACTCCCCCCCTTCCCACGTCAAAGCCGCGCAAAGGCAAAAAAAAACACACACACACAAAAGCACACACGCCTGTATCTGCACAGGCATGCCCACAAGCAACAGTTGATGATTACCCGTCCTCTCAATTGCCCCGCTGTACGTCGGTCGTTGGCTCCCCATTTCTGCGTCCCCACGAAAAGAATCATCTTATACACACCCTTTTCGTATTTGTATCTGTAGGTAGGCCCTGCTTCACCGCGCTTTTTGACATGCCCCGTTCATGCCAATCAGCTGGACTGTTCAGTTTGCAAAACAAGTAACAACGCAAGAAGAACATATACCCGTCCCCCACGTATTTCCGACGCCTGCACAGCCGTTGAACTACTCTTCATATTTCTGCCTCCTCCTCGTTGCTGTCTCCACCGTCATTTTCGGCGTCGGCTATTAACCGCATTTGTCGCAGTGCTATCACTTTGAGTGCCGCCCAAAACTGTGTTTCCTGTGTCGTCAGCAGCAGCCGTTGCGGTTGCAGCGGCATAAACCATAAAGGACACGCAGAGCCTATCCCAAAGACACGACGCAAGTTCTGAAAACTGAACCTTCGCACTACGGTGTCATCGCCGCCGTCACTGGTGTCATCCGTAAGATAGTTGTACGACCCGCTGCGCAGTGATTCATAGATGCGGCGCTCCTCCCGCCGCAAAAGTCGTAGTGTGCTGTCGCCTCTTCCTAACAATAATACGTCCTGCGTGCAAAACACCAGCAACACCACCATGAATGCACCAGCGAGGATAATCACCAGAAGCAACATTGCTGGTGCGCCCGCTAAAAAAACACGAGCGCGTTTCGTGTTGGAAACCACAACGATGTGCAGCAGCGATGTCGCCAAGAGAATAATGAGGTAGCCCATGAACAGGAGGAAATGCTTATGGTTGTCAATGCCAATGCACCGGCCAATCCACGGGCAGTGGTGGTCCATTCCGTACACGCAGGTACAGCATCTCGAGCAGTGATGCGTCTCACCCAATTTGTAGATACGGCAAAAGTGACAAAGCCGTGCACCTCCAAGAAGAAAAAACATCTCTTGCTCACAGCTCTCCGGAGACCGGTCAAGGGCTGCAATGCCGTCGGAAGCAATCAAAAAAATATCCCGGTGAGGCATCCACAATCGCCCATGAGAACTTTGCACGTCCGTATCACCACCACCATCACGACGACGGCGACGACGGCTGTAAACCACACTAGTTACTTGTTGTTGTTTTTGTTGTTGCATCAGAGCACCTTCCATATTGTGCATAAAATTCACTGCAAGGCTTGGCGAATTGTAATAGGGGTTACTGTTGATCGCCTGCATCTCCTGCGCATCCGCCAGTGCATCTTGAGCGCACTGAGATCTCTCCAGCCACTCTTGCTGCTCCACCGCGGTAAGGTTGTGGTAGGCTGTATCGTTTGCCCCATTCTTCACCTCTCCGTGCATCCTGCCCACGCCGCCGTACGTCACGACATCTGTCAGCACTCCACGCATAAATGCCTCAACGCGCTCCGCGACAAACCACGACGGCGGCAAACCCGGGTGGATCATTAACAATACCCCCAGTGACCACATTGTCATGAAAAACGCCGCCGCGGCGACTGACGTCAAAAATATATCCAGCGGCGTTGGCATGAAAGAAAGCAGGGGTACGTACAGAAACATCACCGCAGTGAGACTCCCCCACATGATGAGAAGCAACGTGACAACAAAACCGGCCCACCGCCTGGCCCCACGCAACGCGCTGCGCAATGATGATGCAGTGGATGTCTGCATCGTGTGCCGCAGGAACAGAAAAGCAAGCCACAAGCACCCAAAAGAAGAAGTCAACAAGCAAATTAATATATATAACTACAAATACTGCACCTTCAACAAAAACAAAGCAAAAACACAAAGGATTCAACCTTGAAAAATAAATCCACAGCAGGCCACTTGACGCAATGGTAACAACGATAAAATAAAAACCCTGAAAAGCTGTGAGCGAGTGAGTGAGAGGGAACACCACACCTCTTCCTTCAGTTACATAAGGAAGAATAATGTTTGGGAGGACTATTTCTGTTGGTAACTGTCGTTTCTACACTGTCTATTTCCTTCCTCGTACCGCTAAGACTCCACCAGCCACGGTGTGGGTAACGGAAACCAAGAATAAGAAATAAATGCAGAGAAAAATAAAAGCACAGAGAAACAACACCATCCCACAGCAAAGAGGTGCGACAAAGAACACACAGAAGGCACGACCCCCACTACTCCTACATCCTTCCATTATGCGAAGCCGCAGCCAAAAACAGGATCACACAAAGAGAAAGAAAAAGAAGAATAAATGGAAACGACCAGTTCACGCTGCGGCGATGTGTGTGTATATATATATATATTTGTGTGTGTTTTTACACACAGATAACAAAGATGATTCTTTTCATTGGTGCATATTTACTACACTTTACATCGTCCTTCTTCTTGGTAGTTTTCTCCCTTTACTTCATACTCTGTTGTGGTTTCACTGATTTCTACTGATCCCCCTACTGTTTTTTTTTTTTTTTAGACGTCGCTCTTCCTTGCTTCACGACCACACCGTTCGACTTGCAGTTACTTCACTCACCAGCCCACCCACCCAGAAGCAACATTGTGATGCATGCGTCAAAGCGAGGGAATGATGCAGGTGGACAGTGGTGGAAAAAGCGTTACAGTTTAATTCGTTACGCAGCGGTTGCTGCGGCGCGTCGCCTCCCACGTGTCGCCAGCAGCTGCTCCATCAAGGCACTCATTTGCGTCAGAGACTGCATTTGCTGCTGCGAGTTGGCATCCCGCACAAGCTGGCAGAATCGTGTGGACGAAACCGCTGTTGTGTGGTTGACGGACTCCAACAGGAAGGCCCACGCGTTACACGCATCAATTGGGCTCACAAAGTCGTTTTCGTCAAGAAGGTTATCCTCCTCCTCCTCCTCCTCCTCATCGTCGATGTCTTTGGTGGTGGCCCTCCGCTTCCGCGTGGCGGCTGTCGCCATAAGCAGCGCCTGCAATTGACTGTCACCCGCCAGGGCTGACGCCTCGCTACCCATGCTATCGGCGTCGTCGTCCAGGTCGTCATCGTAGTCCTCCTCATCTTCATCATCGTCGTCGTCATCCTCTCCGCTGTCGCTTGATTCATCCATGCTCCATTCCTCCTCATCATGCTCATCCCCGCTCCGCGTGTGTCCCTCCACCTCCATGGCAACCAGAACACCCTCGCTATGACTGAAACATGCCAGCACCTCGCCTTTTACGACACCGCAGAGCACCTCGTCCAGTGTCGTTGCCAGCTGCGCCTGTTCCGCCTGCAGCCGTGCAAGAACTGCAATGGCCATAATAAACAGACGGCGGTCGTACGATCGTAGCACCGTTTGCATAGTTTCCCCCTGCACAAGCTGCACATAATGTGCAAAAAAGGGTAAGAGGGTACCAGCAGCGGAGAGCGTTCTAACGGTCAGCTCCGCATTCGCAAGTATCGCGGAAAAAATATTATTAGCAAACAAGAGCGTAAGCGTGCGGCGTCGCTTTTTTTGACTGTTGGGGTCAGTCAAGACGCGCAGTGCGGTCTGTATAATGTATTCAACGAGGTTGTCCGTTGCTGCTGTGGCGTTTGCATGGTTTCCATCCCGCTGCTTGAGCTGCCACAGGTTTTGCAGTATTGAATCGTAAATCTTGGGAACCGCGGCAAGCTCACGCAGGCACAGTATGTGGCAGCTTTGCATCACGGCATCACACATCGTGCAGACAACCTGTGCGGGTGTCGTGGAGGCCATTTTCACCGCAAATTCAGGCATTGCACAGAGGTCACTCATCGGAAAAAGGAGAAACTGCTCCGGTGACACGCAGGCAAAATTGTCCAGTGGTGGAAGCATTTGGCTAAAGTAGTCAACCGCGCCTTGTACAACGATTTGATGAAGGCATGGCAGCAAGCGCCACGTAAATGACGCGACAGCAGAACTCCGTGACAACATTGTGGTGAGCAACATGAGTGAGGCATCCATAAATCCAAGACAACCTCCCTTCTCCTTCGACAACACCATGTAAAGCATCGGAGCGATGCGTTCCTGCATCTGAAAAATCAGATCCCGTTGCTGCGACGTGTTGAAGGAAGAGATCACCACCGGTTGCTGAGGAATCGCACGCACAAGTACGGTGAGGGTCTCCAAAATTTCGTCAGCGGCCATGACACTTTCAACAACGCCATCCTCCTCAGTACCCATCACACCCATCCCTGCTGCACCGCTCTTCTTGTTTGCAAACGTTTCGGACACGAAATCATCAACTTCTGCGGCAAGGGCGCGCTCCAGGACTTGGTAAAAATGTTGCACCAACAACTCAGTGAGGTGCAGCGCCCACTGTGAGAGAACATCACGGTAGTGCTTGATCGTCTTGCGCAGGGTGCGAACCACGCCCTCACTGTCCATAAGGCGCATAGCACAGAAATAGTGTTGAATGACGTCACTGAGGCAGGGCGTGACGACGTCCCGCGCGTGTGGGTGACAAATGAGGTTGGCAAAGGACATGCAGGTTTGAATCCGCACTGGAATATCTGGATCTTGTAGAAGTGGAAGAACTTCCACGAGAACACGCTGAAACGCCTGTGGGCTGCTCCAGTGAATTTTAGGTGCAAATACACTCAACACCAACACGCTGCGAGCGCGTAGAAATCCAACAGGATATTTTGCTGCAGGTGCCACGTAGTTCGTAAGGAGCCACTCCACCTTCTCATCTCCAAAGCCAATGGAGTGTAGGACTTTGTTAAATTGGTAAATGGTAAAAAATGCAGCATCCACAACGCGTGCCGCATCAACGTCACCGTGCGCCGCAGCCGCAGCATGCGCTATGAGACGCCCAAGTACGTACTGTACAACATGGTTCACAAATTCTGTATCATGAAATGGTTTGGAGGGTATCGTCAAAGAAAGCATGAGGCTTGAGGAAACCACCTTCGCGCTGTATAAATCCCCCGCGGGGCTCGTCTGTAGCCGCACATACTCGGCGGGGTTTGATGCCCATAACTCAGCATCTTCGACTGAAAAGGTGAGACGTGGAAAAATGAGCATTGTAAAAATCTCCTCAGCATTTGGTGCTATAATCTTGCGGTACGTTTCCCGGCCACCCACTGCCATGGTGAGGATCTCCAGAGACATGATGTAAGCCTTGGACGTCAAACGGCGAGGCACCGTATGCCACCGAACAAAGTCGAGTGCATGTTGCACAAGCCCAAGCAAGTAATGATCACAAAAGTACTTCGCGGCCGCGCGTGCACGACGTTCACAGCTTTTTGGAGACAGTGCCTGCAGCAGCTTGAGTCCCAAGTTTTCTACCCACTTCAACAGCTTCCACACGGCGGACTCATAAAATACGGAAGAAAGGTCCGAGTCGTCACCGTCACCGGTGGGAATGCGTGAACGATACAGCGGTAGAAGCGTTGTGTGAGTTGCGTCCAACACTTGACCAATGCAGCCCTTACAGAGTCGATCCATCCCCGATTGATCGCAGAGAAACAGTGGCCAGCGAGCGGCAAGGAGAGAATCAATGCACTTGAGTGCAATGCGTAGACAGTGGGATAACTCTGTGTGCCACGGGGACACAACAAACATAGATGGTTCCAACCTTTTCAGGCTTGCAGCAGCAGAAGAAGAATCACTAACACCATTCATATGGTGTGATTGCTGTTGTGCCACCAACTCCTGCACCCAAAGTGATGCCAGCGTCTCTGTAAGTGACAGCAATGATGGGCAAATGTTGTTGATGAACTTCTCAATAGCGTCAGCGTCGATTTTAACTGCATCTTCGTAGACTTTGCAGCAAGCCCGCAAGATACCAACTGCCCCTTTTAGGCGCAGTGTGGCGGTCTCCCGTGACGACGCTGTGTCTGGCAAAACGCGTAGGCCAACAACACACTCGTCGAGTATTACTCTTAGATGCGGCATCAGCGACGGCCACCGATGTGGGTAGTCGTAGTGGATAAGTTCTTGCGTGGCGGCGAGCAGCTGTCGTCGCACCAACTCCGGCACATGAGAGCCACACTGGAGTGGAACAATGCATTCTCGTACAGCCTGCTTCGTTTCTTCAGTGAAATACGGATGCCGGTTCCAATCGCTGCGGCCCAACACATTACGCACACGAATGGATGCAGCATGGAGTGCCTGCCGTGTCTCCGCAGGAACGCCGTGGAGTGGAAGCTCTTGACAGGAAAAGTGGATGAGCCGTATGATCAGCCACGGGTCAGCGGAGACGTGCGTGAGGGCCGCCTCAGCCTGCTCCCGCACATTTTTGTCGTCGGAGAGGGTACCAACAAAAATCTGCAGCAGCGCCTCGTTGCTTGACATCTCCACCCAATCGCTCAGGCAGTCTTGAAGCGCCCCTCCACGTCGGCCAAAGTAGAGAGATACTAAAAAGGCAGAGAGTAGAGTCGTAAAAGAGAAACACATGTGGTTTACGCCACACAGACGAGGAATAGGACAAAAAGCAAAATCACAACAAAACAAAAAAAAAGGAAAAAAAAGTCGATGAAATAAAAATATGACTGCACACGAATGCAGTCACAGAAAAAAAAACCATGGACGTGCAAAACAAAGAAAGAAAAACATCCTCGTCTATAGAGAAACTCGAGTATAATAACCACAAAAACAAAAACACAAAAAAAATCGTAAGCAAAGCAGCAGCGTCAAAGCCAGTGAAACTATGAAGACTCAACCTTCCGCGGCAGATGATGTTGTTCTTGATGATGGAAGCCAAGCCGCTCAAGAGTCTCTCGTGGAGGCGTCTTGGAGAGCGGCACACGGCCGTGCCACTGCACCATTACCACGAGACGCCGCACAGGCGCAGCCATCACACGCTCAATATTCCCCACATTTAACAGCGTCACACCTTGCGGTCCACCGTACCACTGCAAGAGCTGAATGCGGTGCACCGGCGAGAGCGCCTCATACGCCGTCAATGACATAAAAAGACGAGCCACGGTCTTGCCGGCACTGTTAAGCCCCATCAACTCCACACTGCCACCCACAAAGTTTTGCACCTCTGTTGCAGAAAGATTTAACACAAGGCGGTACTCGCTCCGCAAATGCTTCTTAAAACGGTCCCGCTCTGCTGCAGAATCAAATTGCATGTAATCCATAGCCCATGCGCAAATGCCGCCGCGTCCACACCAACCCAACATATCCATTGAAAGCGGCATTGTATCCGCCTCGCCTGCATACGTAACGTCGTGGTTAATCATGTCGATACCGTCGTTGCCACTCTTGTTGCAGATTGAAACTCCTTTCGGTAGCGAGCCAGAGAAGCGGAATTGGTGCTCTGCAGGAATGTTGAGACACTCGGGTGCACACATCCGTGCAATCACATCAGCGTCTGCCGAAGCCAGTGCATACATAAAGCGGCCGTCTTGGGAGAAACAAACATCCATGCACCCTCGCAGATAATTTCTCGTGGATTTAAACTCTTCACGAAGGTCAAAAATTTCCACGGGTGGTCCAGTGTTTCTCGCATGCGATGAGCTCCGGCGGCCCTTGAGGGGACACAGAAGCTGACGCACAGGCAGCGAGTGCGTCATAGTGGGTGGAAGCGGATAAAGAACTGCCACGTGTCGTGCTACTTTTGCAGAAAAACCAATCGATTTAAAAAATGTGTGCAAAGAGATGCTGCAGGCAAGAAAGATATTCCAAATGTCATGTGGGTTGCAAGACGACCAATGATGTTCTTTGCTCATGAAGAGTGTGGAGAGTTTAATGCCGTGTACATGCCGCACGGCCTTCATCAATCGACGCTGATCCCGCACACAAGCAATCTGTTCTCCCTGACAAATGGACGTGCACGGGCCTGAGGGCCCAGTCAGCGGCCGCAGCGAAAATGAGGTGTCTATTGACGCTGTTGAGGGCATCGAGTGATACCTGAGGCAGGGCGCCGCATACAAAGCCTCATCTGGGCACATTCCCCTTACAGCCTTTTCCTCCCCCATTTGTCGTGCTTCCATGAGAGGTATAGGCGTGCCATCATCACCGCTGCCGCCGTCAGACGCCTTCGCGTCATCGTCATCGCTGTCACACCCCGATTGCTCAATGATCTCATAGGCGTCAAAGCGTCCACTCTGGCGCAGTCGACGGCACTGTTTCTGTAGCTCACGTATAAACCGCTCTGAATCTGTAAGCCTCGCCTTCAGTGACAGCCCAGCTTCCCGCTCCAGCTTCAATTCGTCCTGCAAAAGTGTGTTGGCCTCAGAAAGGCGGTGAACAGACTGCACCCATGTGTTATCGCCAGACCCTGTTCCCCCGTCGGCGTCATCCGCAGTGGTGGGTCCATGACGTGGCTTCTGACTTCCATGCAGCAGGGGACGTCTTTGCTTCTCCTCAAGCTCCAGCTCCAACATTATTTTCTCACCCCGCACCTCTTCAAGGCGGCGCAGCACCGTCGTCAGAACATCCATGCGACCGTTTGCAACAGACACAGCAGGGACGGTAGAACCAACACATAAATGGGCATCGCCTTTTTTACCCTTCTCGCAGAGTAGCAGTTCAATTGTTGAACGCATGTGTTCAATGGTTGATTGCAACGTGGCCGCCTCCGAAGGCTGCGAGATCGGCTGAAAGAGTTGGACGCCCCTCGCGTGGCCCTCGTCGTGGTAAGTCTTCAGGCCTGTCACGCCCATAATGATGCCCTCCAGCATAGAAGTAATGTTCATCATGTTGACACCCTCCGTTTTCAATTCAAGCAAAGGCAAAGAGCGTGGCATAAGGGATACCAGTCTCTCTACCTGTGGGTAGACTATCTCAAGCACCGCGTCTCGGTCACGCAGCTCTCGTTGTGTCCTCTCTTTCTGCCAAACAATTTCCTTGGTCAACGTTAGCGCGTATCGTTGAAGCTCCTCTAGCACTCGTACCGTGTACGTCCCCGGTGTGTTGTCTGGCTCTTTCTCAGCGTCGTCCTGTTGGAGAGGGACATCGACTCTCGAAAGGTGTAATTGACATTGCGAGTATGCTGCCACTGCCGCCTCCTCTGTGGTGTTCAAAAGTTGTTGTAAATGTGCGCTGCGTTCCTTCTCATCCAGCAAGACCCGTTGGGTGCTCTCCAGGGACTGTTCCGCCTCATGCAACCGCTTCGTAAGCGCAAACACTCTGCCGCGCAGCTCGTCCACCTGCCGCGTAGCCAACCGCATGACATTAACGGCGTAACTCGCATGCTCCGAACCGTTTTCCTCGCAGCTTCCACTTGTATTCCTAGCACTTTGGGCTCCATCTGCCTCGCCCCCCTTCACTTCCTCCTCAAGTGTAAAACTAAGCACCTCTGCCTCGTCGTGAACGGCAGCAAGATCACCCCAAAGGCGTCTAACAGTTTTGCGCAGCGCCTTCATCTGTTTGTCCTGACTGGCTGTGGTCAATAACTTTGGTGCAAAGGTGAATGTGGCATGCCCCTCGTCTCGTGAGTTTGACATGGCCTCAGCGAGAAACGTGGGTGTCTGCATCATAGAGAGCCGTGCTGGTATAAGCTTCGACCAAACATCCAAGAACTCCACTGCCTCTTGCAACGCAACGTACTCGCATTCGAAGAACTCATCCTGCATGCACCGACAGTGTGTGGGGTTCCCCACAGGGCACCTAAAGCTCTTCCCGACGTGGGCGAGGCGGGTCACATGGTGTTGTAAAAGAACCTCCTGCAACGTCACAGTTCGCATCCAGCCTTGCAATACTTCCTTTTTGAGGTGTGCCTCCACTGCAAGACGCCACTGCGCTAACGTCATAAACTCCAACTGACATTCTAGCATAAGTAACATGCGTTGGTAAGCTTCTTCTGCGTCGAGAGTTTGTGGGTGAGGATCAGTGCGCCTTGACAGAGAATCATCCGCGGACGCGACAATGTCGTTCCCGGAAAGTCCTCCCTTTGAGTTCAACGAGTGGGTAGCAGAAAATGAGAATGCAGAGAGGTTCTCCGAGTCCTCATTGTTGCATAAGAGCGCCAGGGGAAGTACAAGAAGTACTTCGCTCATTTCTTACTGCCTTGAGAGTACGCGCGTACTTTACACGACTATTAGAAACTTTGTAGTTTTTTTCGACAAAATATGTGTAGTTACAACACTGTTTTGACGTTGTGCGATGTATGTGTATGTCTGGGGCGTGTTTCTGCCCTTTTTGCCTCTCCGTCTCAGAGAGGCAAAAGTCCGCTCACACGTACACGCTCGCCGCACGTTCTCTCTCCTGCCGTACCGCTGACAAGGATGGTGGTACAAAAAAAAAAACCCTACAAAGTAGGCTGTGAATGGAGCACAGCTACGGAAAGTGGCATGCGTGGTCGTAGAAGAGAAAATCCACAAAAAGAGTAGGGGAGGAATGAATTGGAAGAAGCAGTCGCAGGACGCCCACCCGTTCACTTGAACCACCTCCCCCCTGCCGCACACTTCGCTTCGGTCACTGGGCCTGCAGGATAGGTCAAACAAACAACGGGGAGGCAAAGGACCCTGCATCAGCGTTAATGACGGAGGCTCCGCTTGTGTACCGCTGACAACAACTCTTGGCAGGCAAAACAAAGAAATAGTAATGAACAAAAGCAACAACAATACATAAGCTGTCGACAAACAAACGAACACCAAAAAAAAAAAAAAAGGCCTTCGTAAGCGGCCTCAACTCCGTCATTCACTCACTCGTTCACTCTCTCTCGCTCTCTCATTCGCCCTGATGCCGAGAAACGAGAAAAATCCACGCAAACTTGGCGGTGGAAGATGTGAGCCGTGTGTCACAACTGTTAGCATCATCGACCTCACCGAATGGCCACGCATGCGCTCAATTGTTGGCAAATCCGGCACGATGCACCCACCGTCACCGTACCACGCCGTCAATGTGGCGCGGTGACGCTCCGAAAGGGAGCGGAGGGCGTGAGAAGAGATGACAAGTCGCCGCTTCGGTGATTCATCGCGGGGCATATGCGAAACGATCTCCACGCACTCATTAGCAAAATTCTCCACTTCTGCGCGCGTGAGGTGAATAACGGTGCAGTACGTCTCGCGCAGGTGCAAATCAAACGACTCCTTCTCCTCACGGGATGGAAAACACATCTCATCCAGTGCCCATGCGCAAACGCCTGCACCGGCCCATCCAAGACTCACGACGGAAGAAAAAGAGGAGTAGTAACAAAAACAGTTGGCAGATGGTACACCGAGTCGGCGACGCAGCAATTCCGCAACGTGGACTGTTGCCGTACGTCGAGCATCGCTAAAGGTGTCGGCAGCACCGCAACAGAGATACATAAAGTTGCCATCTGCCGAGAACGCAACGGCATCGCCCATAAAATATACGTCAGCATCTTTGACCTCAGCACGCAGATCAATGATTTCAAATAAATCACCCTTTTCTTTTGCCTTCGCAAAGAGTAGAGATTCTAGATTTTCCTTTGGAACCTCACCATCACGTTTAGGTGATGTCGGATAGAAAACAGCCGCCCGTTTCACTGTTCGTGTCCCGTCCGTATGCGTCCACTGATGCAGCGAGAGACTATGTCCCGCAAAGAGACTCAAAGGCCGCCGCGCGTATCGTTCTGCCTCGCTCTCGGTGGAAAGACGAAGAAGAACTGGACGCACACCACATGTGCAGTTCAACATCATAATTAGCCTCCGCTGCTCGTGTAAAACAGCGTGGTGGATTTCACTGGTACGAGATTCCATAAAGGACTCCTTGGGGCCAGCGTTTGAAGACATTGGGGGGGGGAACGACGATGCTGACGGCGGTGGTAGTGGTGGTTTCACGCAATTACTGCTGCTGCTGCTGCTGCTGCGATTAACAGTATCATTAGCGATTTGCAGGTCACATGAAGGGGCCTGGCGGTTGAAAGCATAAAATTCCGCCCGTGTCTCTTCCAATCGGCAAACTGCCAGTGTTAAAGCGTCAAACGTGTCATTCGAGGTCCCTGCTGGGTTCACGTCTTGGACCATGCTCGCTTGCCGCAGTTCCAGTTCTCTGATTCGCTCCTGCACGGCAAGTATAACTTTTTGTGGGGTGCAAAACGCGTTCTCTTCTCTACGAAACGCGGCATACGCACTTCTTCCTCGGCTGTCGTCGCAGCGTGCCGCTACTTTGGCGCATGCTGCCAAGTCGTTCAAAAACAAGCAAACCTCATTTAGCTCCCTCTTTATCGACTCTAGTCGTGCTGTCTGGTGCTCCACCACGCGCACTGACGCTTGTAGTCGGTCCTCCGCAAACCTCTGCGCCTCCTGGGCGCGTGACAGCTCTGGTGTATACATCTCCACAAGGAACTTCTGCATCTCCTCCTTCAAAAGTTTCTCCGCATGCTGCAGAGTACCCATTGCGTCTAGGGACTTGTCTCCTCTCGCGGCGTTGAAGCACCGCTCCAAGTGAAGTAGCCGATGCAGCTGGTATTTCAATAGTGTCTCTCGCATTGTGAGCTCACGCTCTCGTCGCTGTTGCTGACGCTGCAGAAACGCCAGATGGCACCTGACAATGTGATTCGTGTGAATTTGACTCTCATCAAGTGCAATCATCTCACGGAGAGCAGCTTCTATTTCCTCTAGATCTTGCAACCTGCTGTTCGCGTTGAGGCGCTTTTCCAAGTCTCTCTCCGCGAACTTTTGGATCCATTCATATAGAGCCACATGGGTGTAGTGCGACGCGGGTGATGAAGCAATAAAACCGCCCTCCGCCGCACATGGGCCCTCCACGTGGGTCTCAACGACAGCTCGCGGAGTGCAGAGCACGCAGGGCTCCACAAAAATAATCTCGCTCATGGCTGTTTCCTCCACTTGTCACGCTTGCCGCGGAGGTCCTCACCCGACGTGTTACAAAAAAAAAAAAGACCAAAAAAGTCGACAAACAACGCAAAACAAAAAAAACATTATAATTTAACAAAAGAAGACAAAGAACAAGAGCAAAAAAGAAAAAAAAGGAAAGGAAGGAAAGGGGTGGTGGAAACTGATGGCATATGGGGTCTTTTTAGACAATGATGGATTCCTGACATGAACAAATCGGTTGAATGGTTATTTGCTGGTTTCCTGCTCTCCCGTCCGGCATTTATAATTGCAGAAGGAAAAAATCATACAGCCAAAAGTTGGGATAAACGCACAAGTGTATACTCGTCCTGTTGACGCCGTGTCATATTATGTTCCACTGTTAGAGCCCGTGTTCCGCGCCCGCTCCGCGATCTCGTTGAGATTCATTACACGCTTTGAAATCTGGCGCAGGTGCTCACCAATGGCTGTGAACTCCCCTTCTAAAAGTTTGAAGTGTCGCGAGACATCTTGAAACGGTCTGTCGGTAAACCCCGCATCGTTGCTCCATGGCGACGGTGCTGCGTCATTAAAGCCCGGTTCCGCTGCAGCCCCTGCGTTTTTGCCCTTCTTTTCTGATGATGAGCCTGGCGAAAAGCTCGCCGCCGCCTTTGATGGAACCGCAGTGTCATTATCCACGGACTTGGTGGGGTAGCTGGCGGTTGCACTGTTATCCCGTCCGTGTGAATGTGTTGTTGTCACGGTGGTGCTGCACTCATCACTGTTGTTGTTGTTGCTACCGCCGCCACCCGCACAGGAGGGGTCTGCACCAGCAAAAATCATCGCCCGCATGAGATGGTCTTCCGAAATGCTCGCGCTTAGCAGCCCGCATGTCTTGTAGAAGACTTGTGTCTCAATATCCGAAATTCTGCGGAGCTCGCGAACAAAGTTCTCTTTTGTGGCAGCCGTGCCAAAGGCATTCATTTGCCCCGACGCAAAATCCTCCTCAATCTCGCGAAGTTCCGCCTCCACACTATTAAACTCATTTTGATGCATTTCGCTCCTTTGAAGTTTGCATCTTCAGCGCAAAAAAAAAAAATGAAAACACCAGCACACAAATGGAAGGGGGAGTTACCATCACGGACTTCACACGGCGCGGACAACAAAAACGAAAGGCACATAGACCAAAGGAATGTCGATCCTCCCCAAGTGTGCATGCCCGCATACGCCTGCATGCATAGACTTCCCAGAGCGAGGCACCTTTATTCTCTATAGCACTCTGTTCTTCTTTTTTCTATCACTCCTGCTCCGCAGTCCCTATTTGCCCGCATCACTAATTGACATAGTTTTCCACGTTGAGATTCGGCACTAACTGGCGCAGTAAGACGTAACCAGACAAAGACTCCTTCGCGATGGCGTCAATGGTAGAGCGAAGAGCATTCACCCGCTCGTTCGCATCGCGGAGCTTCACCTCCTTCCGTTGACGCGCCTCTTCCTCCTGACTCAACTGCAGCTCACACAGCTGCCGTTCACGAACAAGTCGCGCTATTTGAGCGTCCAACTCGAACAATTCCGCTCGCAACGCATCCTGTACAGTCTGATGCCGCTGCATCAGCTGGGCCACGTCTCCCACCTCTTCCACAGCGCTCCGTAGCTCCTCACGATACACACGCACACGGCGATTTGTGCTCAACAGTCGCCTGGCATGTCGCTCCGCCACCTCTGCACGCTCTCCGCTGCATTGACTATAGATAATCTCACGCACCTCCGCCGGCAGCGGCCCTTCTAGCATGGACAATGCATAACCTTTAACCACCCCAACGGGCTGTTGCCCCTGCGAGAGGAGCGAGGAGGAGGTCTGAAGTGTCCCAGGGGTGGTGTTGTCGTTGTGTCCACTGCTTGCCGCCGTCGTCTCATCGTCTTTAAATTGACACAACGAAAGCAACGCCGTCGATGGCGTGACGTTGCTTGGCGTGGCATACTGTAAGTCCCCCAACTCTTTATTTTGCTTCTGCTGCAGCGATTCTCGTTGTTGTTGTTGTTCCGGCCGCGATGGCCCACTGAGCCACGGATGCTTCCGTGAAGCCGCATTCCGCCTTGGGTAACTGCTGGAAGTGGCAGATCGATGGATAACGAGGCGATCGGGCCGGTGCATGTCGGATGAGATACGCTGACAAAACAAACACAACAAAAAGACGAGAAAAGTTTGGAGCGCGCCTCACTCCTCCTGTATAAAGAGATACGATGTAGAAAGAAGAGGGGGGACACTGCAGAAGCGCCTCAAACATCAAGGCAGTCTACATCACCAAGTAGGTTGAGAATACACAAAGCAAAACAAAAACAAAAAGCGGGAACGTCAAATATGAGCTCTCATTTATTCGATAGTTGGTGGCATTGCCCCAAATGACCACAACAAATAACTACTCCACAGCGCGGGGAGCACATGTGACAGGGGACTGGAGCAAAACAAAAGCGTGGTGTTGGCCAGCACAGAGAATGCAACGTCACGGGGCCTACATGTTCGACATAGCGAGGTGCAGCATGTTGGCCTTAATAAATTCCCCCGACGTCTCGTAGTACCCAATGTTTTTGTAGAAGTTCTTCACCGACGTCTGTGAGTGAAGAACGAGTTTCGATATTCCCATCTTCTCCCTCGCGTACTTCTCCACCGCCCGCATGAGGAGGACGCCACACTGCTTGCCACGGTACGGTTTCAGCACACACACACGCTCCACCTTTGCGACAGGTGCGTCGTATGCGTGAATGCCGCAGTGCGTCACAACACGGAGTCGTGCCGCAGCGACAGGACAACTTTTTTGTTGTTGTTGCTGTTGCTGTTGTGGATTGTCCTCCTCGTAGAGGACAAAATGAACATCGGAGGGGTTGTGATCGTCCTGCTCTATGGAGACCGGTACCCCTTGCTCCTGCACAAAGACGCGCATTCGAATCGATAACGCGTCGCGAAACAACTCACTCCCCTTGTCCTGAGAGCTACGCACGACAAACGGCATTGTCTCCAACTTCAGCCACTGTGCCCGAAGAAGAGAAAAAAAAAAAATACAAAGCAAAGCAAAGTGACAGAGGTTTGCGTTACAGGGGGCCGCCATTCATTATCGTTCCGCCAGTTTTTTTTTTTTTTGCTCCCCCCACCCCTTCCCTCCGGAGGGAAGAGAAACACAGGAAAAATGGTGTGCACGTAGCACAAAACGTGGATAGCAAAACTCTGCACCTCCAAAGACTTCACGTGACGCAAACATGAACACAATGTCCCCCGCCCTCGCAGTATTCGTCCCACATGTTCCTTGCCACCTGCCGCGCCCACACAGAAGGATACACGCACTGATGCGGAGGCATATCGTTTGGTGTGCATTGGCCACCACAAATGAATGGCGCAGGGATAAAAGAAAAGAGGCAGGCTAGCCCTCATCTCGCCGTTATTGTCAGGCGCAAGGCATTACCGACTTGCACTCAATACTTTGATATCATCCTTTCAAGCATGCGTATCTGTTGCTGCAGCCGCTCAATGTTTGCCACATTGACCCCCGCCTTCCTGTATAACTGCAGTCGACGGCGTTGCGCCACCGCGTCCAGTATCGCCTCCCATGTGAACTCCTTGGCGTGGTAGCAGTGAAAGACTGTGCTCGCCCACGCTACGGTGCACCCAAGGAAGTACGTCATTGGTTCCACAAGATTCCAGTCAAACACAACAAAAACCCAGCGAAAGAGAATGACAAACTGCGCCAAAAGCGCGGCGAGGGTGAGGTAGCGGAGGAGCGGGACATAGCGGTTGTCTACAGCGTGGTCAATGCGGTACTTTTCGGCAAGCAACGGTGCAACTTCCTCGCGCTTCTCACTCAAGGTGCGGCGCAATTCACGCACGACATTGCTGGTGCCCGCGTCGTCAGGTACAAGCATGTCGTGGAGAACCTCGTTGAGGGCGGTCGCATCCATAACAACCGGCACTCTGCCTGCCGCTGAAGCGCCGTAGGAGTGAAACAACGCAATAGACTCTGGAGTCAAATTCCCCGCTGGCACCGATGTCACACCATGACTACACGTCCGCAGAGAAATGCTGTGAGAGTGAAAATGATGATGCCTCGAGCGCAGCGGATGGATGATGCGTAGCAGTCGAAGGGCCCCCGCTTCTGCCACGGCCACGGTGCGGAGTGCAGCCATTCATAAACAAATATGCTCTCGCACTGGTATCAACGTCGCTCACCGCTCACTAACCACCGCAGACATGCCGCGAAATCCCAAGTTGCAAGAGGAGAGAAAAACAATACGAGTAGAGGAAGGATAGGGAAAATAAAATAACAACAAAACAATAAGCCAATACCGCAAGAGATCAGGCACTCAAGAAAGCCCACCAACCACAGACATAAGAAGAGTCAAGAGAGCCTATCAGCACACACATCGCACAGAGACAGACATATGACGCATTTCCCCTCTTTTTTCTTGCTGCAGCTGTTTACACGCTCTTTTAACTTTGCCCTTGAACCATTGTGGATGATGGGCCGTCGTTAATCGTCGCACCCAGGACGCGTGAACATCGGCCGTGGAAGAGGCTGTCCGCGACAAAAATTGAACAGCTGTCTTGTAATGGGCAATCGTCGACGAAGAGTCTGTAGTGCACGATCACCCGAGTCCCTTGCTGTCCTCAACACGGCGTCGTGGATACGCTGCTCATGCTGCTGAATAACTGCCATCACGGCGGAGCACAACTTCCACGTGTCAGCTGACCCCACAATATCACCACCAACCGCAAAAATGTTCACGGGCCATTCGGGCAATGGCGTGGGTGGAAGTTCCTCCACGACTTCCAAATGCATATTGCCATCCTCGTAGTAGTGCGCATAAACCTGCGTCTCACCCTTAATACACACCCACTCCTCCTCCGAGGACAAGTTGGTGGTGCACTCTATGACAAAAATAGATTTCCAGCGCCCGGACCACATGTTGCGCGGGAATTGACGCACCGCCGCCACCGCGATGACAACTGACAGGCAATCCTCCCCGCCACCGTAAGAATGTGGCTGTAGAACAGCCATGCTTCCTGCGCAGGCGGCGGCTGTGCGGTGAATGTCAACAAGCGTTCGCGCGGGACCCATTGGATGAGACCGTTCCCGTGTCCCCAGTGCGCTCTGCTCTGCCTGTGTAGCAGCCCCTGTAGCCACGTCCTCCCCAAAACACGCCTGCACGTAGCGGGCAACTTCCTGTTGTAGCAAAAATCGGGTGTAACCAAGAGGCCCACTGTGAATGTTTGTGGCCTGCTTTTCAATCTCGCGCAGCACCTCTGGCATTGTTGATGCTACATCCAACGTAAACGGAATAACCCGCAAAGAAATCTGTGACACAGGATCAACCTCTATGTACATCTGCAGCGCCGCATCAAAAAAAACATGGCTGAGTTCGTCAAACCCTTTATATGGCACAATATCATCAAAAGGGTCCACCAGCACCTCACCCCGTCGCTGAGGTGTCTGTGAGTGCCTGTTGTCAGAGGCCCCGCTATCGCGTTCGCCCACTTCCATGTCTTGACCACTTTTTTTATTGATATTGTCGTTTCTTGGGATAAACGTTGAACACTGTTGTCGAAAATACTCTTCTACGTCTTGTGCCACATTGCGAGCATGCAGGCAATGTATCTTAGCAAAGTGTTTTATACGTGACCCGAGGTGATTCTGCCGCCCAGCCAAGAAAGAGAGGTTACTGCTTGTAACGGTAACATTGTTGGGATCCGTAAATTGCACTTTGATCTCGTGTCGCTCGACAGATACAGCGGGCATAGTGAATGGTGTCAAATGACGCATATGGTATTCCATGCAAAGACGTGGAATGACCTCAAAGAAGAAGTGGTCATCGCCTGTCACCACACGAAGTGCCTTTAGGACGTTTTGAAGCTCGCCGGGTGGTGCAGCGAGGATGAATCGACGCAAGATATCAAGGGAGTCCATTGCCTTCCTCACCGCAGCGTCACACGCTGGCATCACTGTGTTTCTGTGAGGCGTCCACGTCGTCACACTTCCGGCCGTGCACATGAACACAGTGGTGTGTTATTTTTGAGGCAAATAAAGAGAATAAAGCAAGAACGAGAGCGATGGAGGGAGGGAGGGAACAATCCGCACAACTGCAACGTGAACTGTACCACCACCACCCCACACACACACACCTCCGTAGTGCCTGTGGGACCGCAGAAGGCAACTTCCCTCCCATCCCAAAGACGCACACAAAGAGAGAAAGAGAGGAAGATGCATACCAGTTCCCTCAATTTCCTTGAAGGAATCCCCTCTTATCATGAATCCAAGTTCGTCCCGGAGATAAGCGCACCGCTAGCAACGCCAAGTCCAAGTCCCATGAACAACCTAACAAAAACATTCCACCGCTGTTCCACGTCAGTAGCATTCCAATAATACCATAACCGCCCAGCCGACCCGCAATCAATAGCCAACGCTGCTCCTCGGATGACTTCCGCGCCCACTAATGTATTGTCCTGATGTTTGATGTAGTGTTGGTAAAAACTCGGATTCTGCACCTCAGCCGTCCGCCTTCCGACACTCAAAATAACGTTACTGTCCAATAAATCCTCGTAGGATGTTGCATGAGACGCAGCAGCCGTTTTGAAGAAAGCAAGGGTGCGCCATCAATGAATGACGTTTTCGTGTTGCCTATTCCTCCTCTCGCTGCTTCTGCATGCGCTGCCTCCATGCAATAACTGCTCTGGCACGTCCGTGTTTTATCCTACGTGCAACACTTTCCTCTGAACATGTTACGTACCCCATCATAGTAACAGGCATACGCCAATCGAAGAAGAATCCCTCCTACTGGGGTACTATACCCTGCACTCGGGTAAAAGTAATGGTGCAACTTCGATAAGATGTGGTCGGCAAAAGGCAAGCGTGGCCGGTGGTACCCATAAAAGTACAAGATAGACAAGAGATACACTACAGGGACGGTGCAGCGAATGCCCTGCATCGCGTGGGATTCCATCAAAATAACTCCTGGCTGCTCAGTGCTGCGCTCACACTGCAAGAAGAAGGGGTAATCGTGTGGATTAATATGGTAAAACAGGATGGAGAGCCGATCCATCGCCCCTGAAATCCCACATGGAGATAAACTCCCTTACTCCTTTACACTGTGATTCACTGCCTTCACCGCGCGTGGGGCAAAGAAGAAAGCATATATATATATATATATATATATAAAGAATAAAAAGAAGTAGTTCATGGGAAAGAAAAAAAAAAACAAGAGGACAAATAAATACGCAGAGTGAACGAGTCACCGTGAACAAGAGAGCTGTGGTGTTATATTACACCCTTCCCCCACCCACCCCCCTCTCCTCCTCCTTGCACAAGGCACGGGTATCTTCACCCTCTAGAAGGAAAGAGAGTGTGGGAGGGAGGAAGCACCACTCTCCTCATTCTTGCATTCTTTTCCTCACTACTTCTCAGGATATGTCCGTAACGTGTGCCCCCCCACTACTTCAGCCCACCTCTCCGTCTACCCACTCACGCACACACAAGCCAACGCCCTTCTCTCCATCCTCTGCCACACGACAACGAAAGACATGAAGGCCGTGAAAAAAAATAAATAAAACACAAAGCGATGCATATAAGATACGCATGCATCTTTCTCTCATTGTCTCCCTCTCCCTCTCCCTCTCAAATAAAATCGTATACGGAATGCAAACAAGGCAAAACAAAGTAATTCCCAACTATTATTACTTCTCCAATTCCCTCTGCCTTGTGGAGATGTAATGTAGCGGCAATATTTTTAAAAAAGCAGTGGAACACACTTAAAGTGTGTCAGAGACAGAGAGAGAGACTGCGTGCATGTGGAGAAAATCTGAAGGGAAGTTGGCGCCAAATACACTGCTGCCCTCCCTCCTCACATCACACCACCAAACAAAAAAAAAAGGCGTCACAAAGTTCTTTCGCCTTCCGTTCGAGATGAAAGAAGATTCTTCATTGTTTTGCTTGTTTCTTGCCTCCGTGAATACATGTGATTTTGCATCGACTTTGCTTATTTCTCCTCACAGCTCCCCACCACCACCGTTGCCCCGTCAATCGTGTACGTGAAAGAACAAACGTATGGACCGTGTGTGCGTGTATGTATGTGTGCGTTCAATACGTCGCAGCAGGAAACAACCCCGCCAGACAGAAATAAACACCAAGTGTAGAGAAATGCACTCCAGGACTGCGTCAACGCAGCAACGGGCAAGCGGAAAAGCAAACTCCCCTTCCAACAAAAGCAAAAAAAAAAAAAATGGCAACCCTTACCTCTTCCTTACGTCCTCCTCCTCTCGCGACCACACACAAATGAAACGGGAGCATCTGGAAGAAGTCAAATGTAAAACAGATGCCCTACCGCGACTTATTGGGGGGAGAGTCTATCATGGGAAACAACAATGGTTCCCATGTTTGCTTGCAGCAGAAATGGGAGCATGCATGCGAGTGCTGTATTCAACCATTTACTTCACAGCTATAACCCCACCCCACCCCCTTTTTGAAAGACAAAGTGAATACGTTGCCCCTCTCCCACTTCCCTCTTGCTTCAACAACGTACGTAGAAAACTCCCTCTTAAACATCGGGATGCCTACCACTGCGGCTGCTTCTCCTGCGTTTGTGAGTTTGCTTGTCATTTTTTTCTTTTTCTTTTCCTCCTCATTCTTCTTCCCACGCTTTTTAGTGTGATTTCTTCATCCCGTCCTCGGGGAGTTCAGGACGGCAGGTGCAGGAATGCCACGCTATACATTTGCATCCAACAGAGAGGTGCAGTAGAACAAAAGTACCTCTTGCCCCCTCCCTCCCTCGCAACGACGCACAACATCACACACGTATAACTACCCCCTCCCTCTCAGTTCATATCGTGGCAAAACCCTTTGCAGTACCGCTCAGTGATGGGACCTCCGCGACACGCTGGAACGAACACCTGCCCCGTATCCTCATTCACTACCACATCATCCACGATGCGGGCAATTCGACCTTGTATCTTCTGACAATAGCGCAGTAACGCTGCACTCTTCGCACGCACCGTCTCCACTAGCTCGGCAAATTCGTCAAGTAGCGCCATTAACCCAAAGTCTGCCGCAGTCACAGTGTCGCGGGAGTCATTTGATGCAAACAGCACCGGTGTGACGTCCGTTCTCTCGATGTACTGCACGTAAAGTCCAAAAAGCATTAACCACTGCGCACTTCGCTCTGGGCTAATCGTATCACCATCCCCATTACGACTCAGTTCCCGCGAGCCCAACGAAGCACTACGAGTGAAGCCGACCGAACTCCCCGCCGTTGTTGTTGACATACGACCTGCACCACCTTCATGCTGAGACGACAGAATTACAGAGCGCAGCTGTGTGGATTCCTCGTGAACATCCTCCAAAAATTCGCGCCAGTCAACCACCTGCTGTTCCAAGGCTTTAAAGTTGTCCTTGCAAAACACACGCGGTTGCTCATCGCAGTGGAACACAAGCTCCTCAAGACACTCAAGGCATTCGTAGAGTAGGTGCATTGAGACGCGCTCCCAGTACAACATCCCACGCAGTTTTGTGGCGTCAACAAGAAATTTCTCATTCGAAATTAAGAAGAACCCCCCAACGGATTCCCGCTTAATTCCATTTTGAAGGTTTCGCCCTGACTCTTTAAGTGACTCACGAATGCGTGAGGCGACTGACTCCAGCTCAAGACCTATGCTAACTAGACGTGCCGAGTCGCTTCGTACCGCATCAGCGACACCGCTAGTGGGTGGTCGGAGGTTGCTGTTGGTGTTCTTCGCAGTTACACTACCACCGTTGGGGTTCTCGAGGGCATTATGGGTCACCTTCTCCGAGGCGAAGAAAACGGTGTTGTCGCATGCGGAGCCAACCACGGTGTCATCTACCGCGTCCTCTTTGCTCTCAATAGCAGGTAAAAGAACCTCCGCCATCACCATGATGGATTCTTTTCTACAGACATCCACCATAACCTGAGCCTCGCGCAAGTGCCAAAGGACGCCAAACTGCATAATGTCCTGAAAAAGGTCCGGTTTTTTTCCACCCTCGTATGGAACGTATATAAGCTTCTGCGTCTCCTCCAAGCATCCCCAGAATCTCCCAACATCCCTCACAAATTCTTCCACAGAGGCAATTTGATCCTCAACGAGGTTCCGCATTCGCTGCGGTCGCATAGCTAACACAGTCATCGTGGTGGCTCTTGGAGAGAACGACTGTCCAGTTAAAACAGTGCCGCCGCTTTGAAGCAACACGCGTGTTGTGTCTAGACCTGCATCATTATTTGCGTTTCCACTTGTGGAATCGTAGGGGGCACGTCGTACGCTGTCTTCACCGTGCATAAACTGTTGTGCGGACAATAGCCGGGAGACGAGTGTTACAAGGCTTCTCGTCAACTCTGTAATCTCCTTGGGGGAACTTGAGACTGACACCGATTCAATCTGGTGCAGTGATTGATTAAGAAGCTGAATATGCCGCTGAGCATACACGTGACCAGATGAATCACAGCTGGCATCTGATGAAACCACAGCAACAGCAGCGTCCGCGTCCTCAAGAAATCGTTGTGCGTGTGTGCGAAGAGCCTGTTCTATGCGAGTGATCCCATTAATAAGTGCGGCATTGCGCTCCACAATCCGTGTATTGTGACGCTGCAAAGTTTCTAGCTGTCGTCGGTGGGACTCTCTCTCGCCCTGCCCAGATCTCGTGATTTGTGCAACCCAGCGCAGCAGCGATTCGGGTGGAATCTCCGAGCCCCCAACACTACTCGTCTCTTCTAACCTGCCACTACTCATTATCTCTGCCACACTGTGCGGACGCTTATCTGACGCGAGTTGTGGTGTGGCTGGTCGACTGCCAGCATTGTCGTGTCGTTCAATGCCGTCACGGAGGCGTGTGAAGTTCGGTGAAGCAGGCAAAAGTGAAGCAGCTGCATTTTTATGCAGACGCTCCACGGCTGTGGCGATGACGCGACCCTCAAGAGATTGATATTCCCTATCAATGGTTTCCAACTCCTCTGCATCCATGCAGGGTCCTAGTTGGTTGTCCATTGCCATGCGAGAGACCAACGCGTGCAACTTGGAGAAGTCATCTAGCAGTGGACGTGAAGCGTGCAGTTGAGCAAGCAATGACTTGAGATCCTCCGTTTTCTTTTCAATGTTATTTAGAGATGCCATCAGTTCTGGGGGTGTCGTAAGCTGTACCGCGATGTTTCGCTCCATACCACCATTGAAGCTATGTTTGTGGATATTGCCACTGTAGTCTGGATGGTTAGCGGTGTTCGTCCCTATGGCAGGGGTAGCGCTGTGATTATAACTGCTGTTGACAGCACTGGTGGCGGCGACGGAGACGTGTCTATTGTTGTTATTGGTGTTGCTTGAGGTATACGTATTGGGGAAGAAGGTGAGCGTGCTGTTGTTGTTACCACCGCCACCACCATCCACCCTTGAAAAGACCACAGAAGCACGGTGTGGAGGCACACTGGTAACGTTACTTTCCTCGCGCGTCAGTGGCTTCCGCTTGCCTCTGGAAAACGCGACCGGGCACGGCAACATTGACGAGAAGGGAGTTGACGTGGCAGCGGCGGCGGCGGCGGCAGCGGCAGCAGCAGCAGCAGCAGCGGCGGCAGAGGGAGTAACCGTGTGCTGCATCGCGGTCACTTGGCGCCGCGTGCTCGGGCCGTCGAGAGTAACCTTGCGCTGCTGCGGAACCGACGCGACAATTCCACTTCGGCAGAATGCCTTGGAGTCCTCATAACTGAACACTGAGAGAATGCGCTCTGACCGCCCCGCCTCATGAGCTGCTACAGCAAAAGGCACGGCGGTGAGAAGTCCCATCCCGACGGGGGTCACGCTTCCTCCCAGTGGACCTCCGCGAAAGAGTAGTGACGGTGCATAGGGATCGCTGAGGTCAATGAGGCCAATCGCCTCCTTCGTGCACTGCAGCCACTCACCATATCCGGTCACAAAAGCCGTATTATCCATGAACGTCATGGAGCTAATACTGGCGTTGATGATGATGGGTATTTCACACGTCGTTGGATCAATGGCGGCGAGGCTACGCGTGAGCGCAACATAGACGAGGTTAGCGGGTTCATAGTAGGAGATAAAACGCATCTCACTTCGCATGCGAAGAGTATTCTCCGGTTTATCTGACGACGGCTTTGCCAGCTGCACATTATTTCCGGCAGCGTCAAACACGCGAATGTACGTGTCATCACTGATCGTCCACACCTGCTTACAGCTACGCACGTAACAAAGATCCGAAATGATGGTGGCAATGTTTCGGCTCTTCAAACGACGACGAGTTTGTGGATCCCATACCTTTAGCGCCTTATCGTAACCGGCAGTCCACACCTTGCCAGTGCCAAGGTGCCAGAGCCCACTAATTGTCTGTGCATGTGCTCCTTTAATAACACCTGACATACTAAAATTCGTGAGATCTACGATTACAATGCTTCCACGAGTAATACCACACCACAGAACGTACGTGTCTGACTCATCCTCCCCATATAACTGCGGCTTGGACGCAACTAAATGGCTGGGATGATGCACCGCGCGAGATGGCGGTTTAAACGTCACCACCTTTGCCGCCGGTACACGAACCACCGTCATGGCGTGTACATGAGTGACGTCCACTGTTCGGCTAATATTGAGCTCTGATCCCTTAAAGTCTAACATGGTAACGGGGTCATCACCAAAAGCAACCCACAGAGATGCACTATCAGGCGCCACGACCATTGCCCGCACCGGAAGTTCTGCCATCATGCGTGATACTGGGCGTAGAAACTTCACATGCAGCGAGGGTGCTGGGATTAAGCCCTGATTTGAAGATCTACCACAGCGGGAATCACTAACACTATCGGAGGCCCTGATATTTCCGGCGTTGAGAGCATCGTTCCTAATAGGCGCAGAAGATGCCGCGCTACCATGATCTACAAACGTGTTGTCGTCCTCTGCAGAAAGTTTTCTGTAATGTGTCGTCGGCACGGGCTCTGCCTCCGCCGCCTCCACTCCTGCAGACCCCTCCTGGGTAACGGAGTCCTCGTCAGAGTCGTTGTTGTTGTCACCGCTCCTCTCTCGTGCCACCGTGTACACCGGAGTGCGAGACTCGGCCTGCACAGACGCGGGAGGGAGTCGCGCAAACTGTTCCCCCACGCCCCAGCCACCACCCGTCTCGACGGTACCAAGAGGTAGCTCCGGGATAAATGGTGCCCCGCTCATGCCAAGACACCAGGACGTGTACTAGATGATTCCTGCTGTGTGTCTGTATGTCTACTAACACTGTGGATTCTGCTTCCCCACACAGCCCTACTCTTCGTTGGTTTAATACGAACCTCCACACGCTCACTCACGAAAAATAAATAAAGAACAAGCAGACAAAACAGAACAAAAACAACAATGATAATAATAATAAACGCAACACACGCGGACACAGATGAATGTACGCATGCATATCCCTCGTGTGCACACCTTTTCCAAGGAAATGCAACAAGAACTCAAGCACTAATGAGATAAAAAGAAAAAAAACATATTGCAGCTTCTTTCCCCCCACAGAAAACACTATCATTGAAAAGCACGCGAGTAGATGGACGCAAAAGTGCATAATACATGCAACAACCGTAAGAAAGCACCTGAGTTGTGAGGTCAAAAAAAAAAAGATCTCATACATGTACTCACCACATAAACGCACATCTACACCGCAGCCTCACCGCTCCTCAAACTCCCGTCACTGATGGCGCTGGCGTTGTGATTCCAGTTCAGCTCACCTCAGATGAGACAGGAGAAAGTCGAGCGCCCTCGTCCGCTCGCCGAAGTCACGCACCGCCACGCAGGAGCACTTAAAAGTCTTCTTCAGCTCTCCAGTGCTGTCCAGCTTTGCGAGGCCCGCCCACTGTGCAAGCTTCTCACGTTCCTCGACGTTGATAAGGTCAATCTCCCCCTGCTTTGCGAGTGCTGTGATAAGCTTCTTGTACTCCTCGTCCTCGCAGTCCTCGGCGAGAACGCAGAGGTGTGCGGTGCGGTTGTCAAGGGCCCGGGTAACCTCCGAAAGACCTCGAATGAGGCCGTTCACTTCACGTGACTTCCTCAGAACAATATGGAGGGCATCTTCAAGGTTTTCCGGCGTCGCATCCACTACAGCATCAATCACCGCCGGAGCAACCTCCAAGACTGGTGTTTCCTCTGCCATACTTAAGAGATGTTACCGCTTTGGGAAAGAAACTTTAGATGCGTGTATACGCACACATTTGACACATGGGTTATTGCAAAGGCGCAAGAAAAAACCGCACACATACGTGTGTGTGTATGTGTGTGTGTGGTGGTGTGTGTATGCAGGGAGCCATGTAAAAGCAATATATGGCGTGGAAGCAAACACAAATAAAAAAAAAAAGAGGAAAAGGGGGAAAAAAGAGGCGTGTGCGTCTGTGCGCAAGCAAGCGTAGAGGTCAATGGCGTTGCACATGAATACAGCAGACAGAAATTGCACGGCGGTGGGAGGTGTGGAAAAAAATCCCACAACGCCGTGAAATCGGTGATAAGTAAAAATAATGTGTAAATAACCCCCTTCACGTCATCCTTCTAAGTGGTTTCCGCTTCACCCCATGCATTTCACCCTTACATCACTGCCCAGTCAGGGTCCGACCGACAGCAGCGAAGAGAGGGGTACACAAAAAAGGTAATGGCAAAACCGTCGCACAGAAGGAAGAAAAAAAGAGCCATAACACAACAAAATAAAAACAACAAACCAACCGACTTTGTGTGTGTGCAGCTTGCACCTCGCTCACTCTTTCTGTACTCTCTTCGCCTATCAGCCCCGTCACTTGTGGCGGAAGGCACGACGGCGGGTACCGACGCGTTGGCGTTCCTTTCCGCGGTTCGATACGAAGGGCTTCGCGTGGCCGCCGGGTACGCCCGCCGCTCCAAAGTGCTTCACAGATTCGCGCCCAGACTTGCGGCCGCGCAGCAGGAAGGTATTCTTTCCGGTCGGCGCCACCATTGCGAGCTGGTCAAATGTCAGGCACTCACCACCAGCACCAGTGATGCGTTCGCGGGCGCTCTTCGAGAAGCGAAGAGCACACACGCGCAGAGCCGGGATGCGGGTCATGCGGACATCGTCAAGCACATCACCAACGATGACGGCGATAGGGGACTTCTTGCCCTTCTCCAGCCACACCGACCTACGCTTCATGCAGACGGCAATGCGGCTCAGAGAGACGGGGGCGCGGTTGCCTCGGCTCTTAAGCAGGCGCTGGTGGATGAGCTTGTTGAACGGGGAGTTGGTGCGCTGGGCGAGGAACTTGTAGAGCTTGATGAGAAGCTTGATGTACGGGTTCGTCGAGTACGTGTGGTGGCGCACCACGCGCTTCTTCTTCTGGACTCCGGTGAGGTCAACTCCCATCTTCGCTGACAACTGGCGACAGAACTCTCAACACACACTTTCCCAGCAAAAAAAGCAGACGAAAATAAGAAACAAAAACAAAAGCTTTGACACACGCTCTAAAGACATGCGCGGAGATGAGAGCTGTCAGCAAAAACAAAAACAGAGAACTCAATCCAATCAGCCTACACAACTTCACTATTTTTGTATGTTTGGTTATTGTTTTTTTTTGTTCGTTCGATGTAGTGCGCCTACATCTGTGAGTTTGGACAGCGGTGTGTGTGTGTGTGACTTGTGCCACCAAATGCACTGTATCACCCCCATCGTCTTCGCTCATGCTTCGCCAGGCCGCACCCGTACACTTTCCCCTCTCGTGCGCGGCATGCCCCCGCATGTATATCTGGCTTTGTCTTCCCCTATCCTTCCAGCCTCGCCACAACCATTCGCTCTTGCTGTTTGCTCTGCCTCCTTTCTTTGCAGATCCCCCCCCCTTTTTTTTTTTGCTTCTTATGATTACCACGGCGCTTTGGCCTCGCTGTTCTTGTTATTTCTCGTCTCGCCCCCTTAACGCCTCTCCTCCTAACAAACACACAGATACACACACTGCGAGAGCAACATTCGGCCTCGCCTACTTTTGCGTTCCCACACCACTTCCTTTGCAACCTCCCGCTACTTATCTTGTGGTCCTTGCATGAGGGGCTTCTGATTCCGAGCAAGATCCGTGTATGGTGACCCAAGCGCGTTGTAGGCCCACGACCACACCGCAACACCTCGATTACGGTTTTGTCCCGCTGACGACATCTGCGTGGCTTTTATTTCCGATGAGGACAGCGATGGTTGTGGTGCGGCTGCAATAGACGGGGCCCCGGTGTATCTTGCAAGTGCAAAGATAAAGTCATCCATCGCGGGATCGTCGGTGCTGCCGCGCGCCACAACCCACGTGCCGGAGCGTATCTCCCCCGCAAGTTGTTCCCCTCCCCATCCACTAAAGCCGCAAATCACAATGATGTCATTCGCGTCGGCGGTGCCGTCCTCAAGCTTCTTCTGCAGCACGTCGTAGTTCCCATCCACCCACAGCGAGTGGGAAATTGGGATCGCATCTTCCACATCTGGAATGCGATGCAGCAAGAGAATGCTCGAGTCAAAGGAGCCGCGGCTAACAGGGCCTCCAATCATCACCGTGTGATTCGCAAGATGTTTGCCAAAAATAGGATGAACGTGGTTCAGACGGATCGTGGCATTCACAGGCATCGGCATGCCCTCATCATTTTCCAGCGGCTTGTTCAGCACACAAGCTGCAGAGTCATTTGGGGTGGAACGGATAACTATCATGACGCTGTAACGGAAAAAGTCGTACAGCTGGGGATGTGCCAAAAGCATGTGAACTGAGTTTGGTGTGTCAAAGGGTGTTTTATTTGGCTTCTTGCCAGACAAAGCTGCAGCCCCGTTTTCATGCTCCTCTCCCTCGTCGTCATCGTCGTCCTTCCCTGCCACGTTTTCACTCTCCTCCTTTACACGCACATCCTTCTCGGAGGTGCGGCTCGGAATGCCTCGCTGGTCACCAGTAAGCCGCTCCAACACATCCGATAGCCCTTTTGTGAGGGACACGTTGTGCATCCCCTCCACTTTGTCTACCACTGTGAGATTGGGTGTCGGAAGCGTTTTGGCTTCCTGGGGCGGCAACACTCCTGAACCGTAGTGCTTTGACGCCATTTCCGTCACATACGCAAGTTCCTTCAATGCCGCAAATGCGTTATTCATCTGAGTAATTGAAAACGGCGTCTCCTCAAAGGACTTCCGAAGGACCTGCAGAAGTGAGAGGGAGGATTCATTCCCGCCGCTGCCGCTGCGGCCGCCGTCGGCGACACCTCTATCACTGTCACTGCCAGACCTGCCGTCAGCGTCGCACCCATTCTGTGGTATGTAGAACTCGCAGCCGCGATTCAGTCTACGAATGAGGCTGTCGAGGAAGATGCGGGACTCTGGCCATCCTGCCTGCTTCGCCACATCAAACGCGACCCACACCCCGCGGCGATGATCATACACCCGCTGCGGCGAACACGTCAAAACAGACCGCAACGCGATGTCCTTGTCGACACTAGCAGCCTTCTTGTAGAGTTGCCGGTACACTGTACGGACAATCTTCTCCATGTTTCACACCTCCCTTCTCCCTCACTATCTACACACAAAGTCCGCATACACAAAGTGTGGGACACGCACATATACATCCATATATCCAAAAAGATTAAACGGAGTAATTCAACAGGGAAAGAAGAGCAACAGCATCCATGAAGAGAAAAGGGGCATGTAAAAATAATTTGCGTCCCTCCGCGTCTTTTTTTCTTTTTTTCCATGACTTTTGATTTTGGTTTCCGTTTCCCGTGTAATGCGTCCACTTTGGCACCCCCCACACACACCCAACGGGGCAACACGGTGTAGTCGTGTCACTCACCACGCAACACCAACGTGAAACAGAGGCACGAATCAAATAAATAGCAGATGTTACAGGGAGAAATGATACTAACACGGTAAGAAAAGGTGTCACCAACAAAGGTCGCCTCCTTCCTTTTGGGCGGGGGTTTCTTTTTGGATTAATGCCTCAGTTCTTTTTGGCCTGATCTCAGGTGCGGGCGTTTACATCATATCGTCTAGTGGTTCCACTTTTCCCTGAATGGCGGTGCGCTTCGCCACCAAATTCATCGGATTGCCCTGGCGCGAGTCACGCAGGAGCGCGGCACTGTCAATGTAACGCTGCTGCTCCCACGCCGCCTCCAGCAGATCCCACAGGCGCCACGTCACCGCCGCCGCCATTGGACCGAGAGGCAAAAACATGCGGTTGTGGTAAATGGTAAGATAAACCCCCATCGCCGTTGCGACCGATGAGATACCAGTCAGACCAAACAAACTCCACTGGTAAAAGTACACACTCCATGAAGCGCTGGAATGCTCTCGCAGCAGCCGTGTCGAGCTCCCCTTTGCCACGTTCTCCACCAAATCACCAGCCGGATTGGAAATCACCTGCACGTTACCCCCGGTATTCTTCAGGTGCTCGAGACGGCGCTTGTACTGCATTTGAGAAGCAAAATCGTCGAGCACAGAAAACATGGCAGCGCGCCGCACCTCCTCATATGTAAGCTTCGCCGATGCCGCACGTTTGACTATAGGAGCGGGAGGTGCGCTCACACTCAGTGACGCAGGTTGCTGCATAATTGACTGATGACGACTCACTTCTACCACCCAGATAAACGGCTCTAGTGGGAAGAAAATAAAGAGAGAAAAAAGACGAGATAGAGAAAAAAAGAAAAAAGAGCATAATACGCAAAGCTCAGTAGCATGTTTTTATGTCTCCATTTCCGCCTTTACTCCATCTTTTTTTGTGTTTCGTTACATTTGTGATTTTGTGGGGAAAGAAAAAAAGAGAGTTGGAGAACTCATCTTGGTGTTCCCTAACCCAAGTGCAACAAGCGACGATGCACGTGTATATCACACACGTCTGTTTTTGGAGCAGCTCTGCGCATCCACAGCCACAAAGCAAACAACACGAGAGGTAAAAAACTTAAAAACTTCACAATTTACGTGGAATTTTCCGTTTTCCATGCCGCCTCCGCAAATGATGAGCGGCAACTTGGATGTCTCCCACCACTGGGGGGTACTATGCTGTGGGACAGTGTGCTTCTTTCCTCTCTCCCCAGCCGCTGCGACTCTTGCTGCTTTCCTCTTGCGGCGAGGATATTATCGCTGTCCGTTACCTCCTGGAGGACGTCAATAAAGGACCGTAGTGAGGTTTTCCCAGGTGAGAGTGGACTACCAGTGCGCAGCGGCCCTTTTTCAGCTGGGTGCAGCCGCTGCTTGTTCTCCTCTCCTAACCTAGCCACACCAGTTGCCTCTAAGCGACTCTGCTCAGTGGCCAAATGTTGTTGCTTCTGCGCCAGCGCCGTCTGCTCCGCAGCAATTTGTTGTTGCAGTGCATTGTGCTCTGCCTTTTGCGCCAGTGTCGCCTTAAGCTCCCTCTTGAGCAGCTCCACCTCCTCCTGTATTTCCTCGCGACGACCGTGAAACAGCTCCTTGTCGTGATTCATCAGTTCCCTCATCGCCGCCATCTTTGCAATTTCGACTCCCACCGCTTCCTGCCGCGCCGACACCGCCTCCTCCTCGGCCGCGAGGCCAAGTAGTTGCTCGCACATTTGAGCCCAGCACGACTCCGTCTCCCGCTGCCTCGCGACAAAGTCCACATGTTCTTTCTCCATTGCCTGAAAAAGCAAACTTCGCCGGGTGCGCAGTTTTGATCGTTCCTCCATAACTGCTCGGTTGCGCTCCGCGAGTCGTTCCATCATTTCCGTAGTCATGCTGGCTGTTGGGAGATGTGTGCGTGCAGCGGTGGAACCAGGCTGCGTGGCAGAGTCTCCATGAGTCAACATCAGTTCATGACCCCACTGCAGCAACTCCCGCTGCTCCCGCTCCCACGCCATGCGGAGGAGATCAATGTTCGCATGGTAAGACTCCTGCGTCAAGCGCTGCTGCCGCACTGTCTGCACGTCTTCCTGCATATTGGCAGCAATACTTTCCCGCAGCTCGCCACATCTTTGGCGTGTTGCGGATAATTCTCTCTGTCTCTTTTGCATCTCGTCCAGTAAGGATACGACGGTGGCCTCTTTCTCATGCACCGCCATACGCGAAAAAAGCTCCTCGTCTGTCAGAAAGGAGTGCCCCTCTCCCTCAACGCAGTGTGCCTGATTCCATAAGAGCTGCTGGTGTAGTAGTTGCTGCACAGAAGACTCAAGTTCACGCACTTTGCTGGCAATGGATTCCGCCCTCGCTGTGCACATGTCCTGTGCCACTCGCTTCTGCAGCCCTACACCATCACTGTTCCAAACCTCTCCGCTTCTGCCTTCGTTGTCCTTGTCGATGCCCCCCCGCCTCATTCTTTCCAGCTGCTTCTGCAGTGTCTCCTCTTCAGCTTCCTGGAGCCTCTTTGTGACAGCCCGCTCAACTTGACAGCGGTTATCCAAGTCAGCTCGCTGACTTCTTGCCACACTCTCGTCGCTCTCACGCACCGCAGCAGCTTTTCGTTGCGCACACTCGACAGACTCCAATGCAAGCTGATCAAAACGACGTGCGGCCTCTTCCATCTTTGCTTCCACCTCCCGCATGCGTGACTCCAAACGCTGCCTAGCGCGCAAACGCAGTTGTTCCGTCGCTTGCCGCAAATCTTGTCGCAGGGCAGCCATGCTGCAAGATCGCATCTCTGCACGCCGATTGAAAAACTCGCGACAACGCTGCAGGAATTCTTGCATAAAATTCCCCAGATCTTCCTTGCGTCTGATAGCATCCTGTAAGTATGCTACTTCGTGGCGCTTACGCACCTCGGCGGCAACATCCCTGGTCTCCTGGTGAAGAACTTGCACCACCCCGCTTGAAAGGGACTCCAACCGCTTATTATGATGTCGCCAAATAAGTCGGAGAGCAGCGCTCATCTTTGCCTCAATGCCACTATCGCTACGAGTACTACGTGTGTGACTGTCCTCTGCAGAAGTATCCACACTGGCATCAGCAGCCCCATCGGTAGCGTTCGTATCCTCATTTATCGCCTCTTCATCCGCCAGAGCGATAAAAATGCCCCTCTCATCATATCTATGCTGCTGCAGCAGTAACTCACGCTGCTGGGACAACTGAGCTATTCTAGTCTTGACATCGTCTGTTTCCGTCGTGAGAGCGCGTAACTGAGACTCGTATCGCTCCTTCTCCATTGACGTCACCTCCTCCTGCTGACTCCGGAGCAATTCGGTGGTGCGATCACTTATGTCCTTCAGACGTCGTTGGTGATACGAGCCATACTCGCGTCGTTCGCAGACGATACGGTCCTCGCTGCTGGTGAGTTCCGTCTGCTTCTCTATGAGCTTTGTCTCCAACTCCGTTAGCTCAATATCCGCCCGCGTTTGAAGGGTGTCTAGCATGCTATTCGTCTGATCAAGCTCCATCGCAACAGCGTCCAGCGACGACAGAAGATCACGTCGTTCTGCCTTCCAATTCATCTCTTCGTCCTCTGCATGTCCTTGCGGAGGCGACGCAGTTTCAGCCGCAGCTACAGTGTTTGCTTCCTGTCGTTGTCCCACAGCTTCCGTCGCTGAGGATGGCGTCATCTCAAGAAAAGCAAGTGGATCCTCTTCAGCTCTATCATCCCGTGCAACCACAACAGCGGTACGTCGGCCGCTCTCACCCGCAAAAGTTACCGATGGCATACCCCTTAGGTTTGGCGCCGTCGCACTCGTGAGTGCGGCTGGCGGAGGGGTTTCATCTACCTCCCATGGCATAGGTTCATCATTGACTGCCGCTGTGAAAGCTGGTGTTTTTGTGACTGCTGCAAATGCAGATACTGGCGGTACTTGTCGCCCCAAGACCTTAGGGGAAACGACGCCACGTCTGCCTGTACGGCCCTCCAGAAACGCACCAGAGGCGTTTGTCGTTGTTGCTGACAGCTTTGACGCCCCGCTTGGTAGTGGAGGTGGCCGTGACCGACGACTCTGCTCAGCAGATAATTCCGCCATAACAGTGTCGAAAGACTCTAAGTCATCAGCGAAAGGATCGTCGACGTTCATCTCCACTCACTGACCGACGAGAGACAAAAAAAAAAAAAAGAAGCAGCTCATATATATATATATATATATAATATATATATATTATATATTGAAGTGGGACGGAAGAAAGGGAAATAGAAAACTCCCATGTACTTAGATGCATACTTACTTCTGTACAATACACGGTGATACCATTACGGAGTACCTGGTGTGCTGACGTTTACGGGAGACATGTGGGCGGATGTGCCTAGAGGCTTACAATGCAGAAGAAGCATTTCGTATGCGCAAAATACACATAGCTAGAAAACCAAGTCATGTGTCCACTAAAGCATCATGACACTACAGTACATATCTCATGCATACAAATCCAAATATACATAAATCCATATGTGCATGTATTGTGACTGCACCGAGTTTCACTGGAACTTTTGTCGCCGTCATTTCTTTCATTTTTTTCTCTTTTTTCCCGTCTCTTTTTTTTGATTTGACCTTCGACAGCTTCACTTGCAGCGATGGTCAACCTCCTCACAGATGCACGCCGACAGTGTGAGCACGTGAGGGAGCTAGAAACACATCAGTAACGCAGCATACGAGAGACAGCAAAAATAAAAATAAAAAAATCAACTACAATCAAATACAGACCAAGAAAGAGAGATAACGGCAAAAACAAAACAATAGAGGAAAAAAAAAATGAAGAAAATGCCTGAAAGAGGATCATACATCTGTGAGGTCACCCAACGCAGGCAGAGGCATTTAAGTCTCCATAGGTGTCGATTCCCTCTTCACCATTTGACCTCCAGGTAACTTTTGGTAACACGTCTGATTGATGAAAAAGAGAAGCGCCTTGATGATCTTCTCCTTGTCTTCCCACGACAAGTCACTCAGGTGCACTCCCTCACAGCCCTCACCGAGACTGATGAAAGCTGCACTGCTGCTACTGTGGGCATCCAGTGTCGGCCGTGCGCCGCCCTCACCCCGACGCCGCAGTGCCGCTCCAGAAGGCGGTGACGGCATAACCACGGAAAGAGGCCTCGTAGAAGTCGTAGGCGTTGTGTTCACGGCCATCGTAGAAGGTGCAAAGTTAGAAGACCCCATAGCGTTAACACTTATCGGCGACTCTGTAAGAAACGTCGCGCCCTTCATCACCACGGAGGACGGTACAGTCATCCCCATGGACGATGGAGTCTCTTGTCGCTGCTGCTGCTGCTGCTGTAAGTGGCGAGTGTGGACGCCACTGTTGTCGGCGGTAGGAAGCGATGGTAGCTGTGACTGCGGGGTCTGTAGTGGCCGTCGAGGCGCCTTTGAACGCATCCGCCGCACATCTTCGAGTGCAACGTAAAAAAACCTCTCAAGATCGGAGCGCTGGCCCATTATGGTCGAGGCAACTTGGCGCAGTCGCTGCAGCTCCACACGGTGTGACTGCAGAGAGTTCCGCGTCTCCGCAAGTGTCTTTTCTAGGGATTGTATCTGTGCCTCATACCGACGCGAAAGCTCGTCACGTATCGCCTGTTTCTCCTGCGTCAGCTCCTTCACACGTCTTTCCAGACGCTGCGTTTTTGCTTCCGACTCCCGTGCTCGACGGTTGCCCAGCACAATGCGTCGCAGTGCCTCCTCGCAGGCACGTTGGTGCAGCTCTCCCTTCCGCCTTACATCGGCGCACTCCGAGTTTTTCACCGTCGTAAGCTGCACAAGCTCCTCAATCTCCTGTGTGAGCCGAAGCCGCTCGTACTGCAGCGACTCATGGTCTTCTAGCAACGCCTTGGACTTTGCTTCCAAAAGCCTATCTGACTCCCGCTCAACTTGCGTTTTAAACGCCTCCCGCATCGTCTCCTCCAGCGCAACTAGCCGCATCTTGCGGTCTACAGTCTGAAACCGCAAGGCGGCAATCTCGCAATCGTGACGTGTTCGCATGCTCTCAATCTCGTCTTGTAACCGCTGCAGTTCAAGCCGGTGCATCTCTCGCTTATGCACCTGCTGGGCAGCTGCCTCCATGTTTGTTTGCAGTCGCTGGATAATGGTGGCATACTGTGTTATCTGAGAATCCCGCTCCTCTAATATACGTTCGTATTGGTGTCGCAGACCCTCTTCCGTCTCGGCACTGTCAGCGAGAAGTCGTTCAATCTCGCCTCGCTGTTCCATTACCTCCGAAACGGCGGACTGAAGCTTCTCCTTGAGGTACTGAACCACCTTGATAGAGTCCGACTCGTGCTCCTCCAGCTGACTCCGCAGCAAAGCATTCTCGTGTGACATGGTTTCACAGCGTTTCGCATACTCCGCCATGGCAGCCTTTGTGACGCGCAGGTCGACGTTAGCAAAGGTGGAGGAAACTACGTCACCCGGCTGTGCAGCGCTCCCGCCCTGCGTGGGAGACACCAAATTGTTCACCCGGCTTTTGCCACGACCAAATATTGGTGGCGCCCTCGGCGGCATCGCAACAAGTGTGAATGAAAGCCAACCACTTATTGTGTGTGTGTGTGTGTGTGTGGAGAGGAGGAAGAAAGGAATATATATGTCGGTGGGTGGGTGTGACGGCTCAATGAAATTTCAAAACTGTCTATGTGGCTGCCTTCTTGTCACGATGGACGAAAACACGAGATAGAGTATATAAAAAGCACAGGGGACAAGAGACCGGAAGGGTGGAAGAAATAGAGATGGTTTAGGGGGCAAACAGCAATGAGCCGCCACGAGTCACTTCCATGCGGGTGTTTAAAATGATTGTGCCTGTGCCGTCCCATTACTTATTTATGGCTGTAACGTCTCAAACGTTGCCTGAGTCGCATCGTTACCATTCTAACGCGCATGCGTTTCACTGTTGATATTTATCGCTTTCTTTGTGTGTTCCTGTTCCTCCCCGTGCCCCCCTCCCTCCCTCCCTCTCTCTCCTGTGTTTCTCCCTGGTGTGCCCTCACCCCGTACTCCTCTTAGTCCCTCTTCCCTTCGTCATCATCCTCACTTTCATCATCGTCGTCCGCCTCCATCCATCGGCGCTCCTGCTCAAGGCGCTCCTTCGACCGCTGCTCACTGCGCTGCACAAAGGGGTTCATTGGACTCTTCTGCCACATCTCCCACAGCAGCTCATCGTACTGCGTGCGGCGCAGCCTGGGTTTCTCCTCTCGCAGCGTGGGAATATGTTCCTCGCAGAATTGCCGGTAAAGAACGCGTGCACGTTTGCCAATGTGGCGATCCTCCTGCAGAGGCACAGCACCCGACCGCATGCCAGACTGCAATGCTGAAAGCACCTCTGTGACTCCACCGCTTGCCTTAATGTCACTACTGCTATTCCTAACCTCATTCTTCGCCGCCCGGTTTGGATTGCTCTCCGGGAGCGCGGCGTCTACATTATTGACAAGAGCCCCTGACTGCTGCTGGCGCTCATTCTCCTTTCCCTTGTCGTAGTCTTTTAGCAGCTTTGATAGGTCCTTTTGAATCTGCCGCCGCGTAACCTTCTGCGGTACCTTTTCGCTTAACTCCTGCTCCTCCTGCTCCAGCTGTTCCTTACGCTCCGCCCTCACTTCATCCTGCCTCCGCGCCTTCTCCTCCACCTCGCGCTGCCTGGCCTGCCTCTTCAGCTCCTTTGGATCATTCTCCACCCACTTGGCGTCTTCCCGTGCCTGCTCGCGCGCCGCCTTCACGTTCGCCTGGCGCTCCTGATCACGCTCACGAGCCTCCGCCGCGTGGCGGTTCATAAACTTATTCGACTTGGGTCCGCTCGGCATTGTCGAGCCACACACACACAGAACCTCTATATCTCTCAACAGGGAAGGGAAAAAAAGGAGATAGCGAAGAACAGAAGTGTAGTTACTGTAGCATCCAAAAAAAGAAAAACAAATGGGGGCAAGAAAACAACTACCCTTTGTCGCCCACAACCACCGCCTAACAACGTGCAAATAACGTTTCGCTCTTTTATCCCTTTTTTGTTGTGAGCTCTTTCATTTTTGCTTTGACTTCGTTGGTTGGGTGGCGGGTGCGACGGGGTGGCGCAAAACCTGTCACCACATCTCCTCTGCCATCTCTGCAGTCCCAACTTCAGGCTATGCACACGCACACTCACCGCGTCTACTTGGGCGTGAATTCCCGCCATTGACTCACTCAAGACGGACGCCTGCAATGCAATCATTGCGCATGACGGGACGGAGGCAAAGTCCACGCAACGCACCAGCTTGGCAGCCCTCCGCGATTACGCGCACCAGCTGTGTACCCTCCTCCTCGCTGCGGTAGCCCAAGGAACGTCGTTTCAACAACGTCCCCGAGACGTTTTCAAGCGGAAGCAGCGAAGTTGCTCCAGCAATCGGGAATGCGCACAGCACCGCAAGCTTGCCAATGTCAACAATGCCACGGTTCAACTCCGGCACTTCGTGACCGTCGTGCATGTGCATCGAATGTACAACATCGTCTATGCGAAAACGGGCACTGGCGTCTCGCTCCGAGGCGTCCAAGAAACTCGTCTGTATGCCTGTCACATCAACAATGCGGCGACCACGCAACGCCGCCGGCGTGGCAGACCCCATCTTCACAAGAACGTCTCCGGCGCTGAGCGACGGCAGTGAGAACGAAGTACCGGGTGATGTATCATGTGAGGATGGTAACCTCCCAAAGCGACGCTCATAATACGTGTTTCCGAGAAAACTTATTGGTATCCTCTGGCTGTGATTGCCCTCCTTGCGGGGTCGAAAAGCAGTGTATACAAATGGGCCAGTTGGTGTCGTCCGCCGGCCCCAAAAGCAACGTCCGGTGAGTAATGATGTGGCAGACATAGTGCCCACTGCAAAAGCCGTTACTGTCCACTGCTGCTGCTGCCGTGAGGCAATATGAGAAAAGCCCACGATAGCAGAGCTATTTGGTGTTGTTTTAATGCAGCGAGGGCACCAAGAAAAAAATAATAATAATAAGAAATAAAGAAAGAAATAAGAAGCGGAGACACCGGCAGTGTAAAAAAACCATGTTAGAAAACGAAAACAAAAATAAAAGTCCACGCGTCAGCATCAAAGGAGAGAAATAATAATAATAGTGGTGAATAAAGAAAAAGAGACACCCTGCCCCCCTTCTTCCCTCGCCATCACGTTTCACCACGCAGTAGCCTACCATTTTTATGTATTTTCGTTGCATGCTGTGCTCTGGCTTACTCCTCTCAGTGCCGCCACACGATCACGTCCTGCCTGCGCTGCCTCCCTCTCCCTTCAGACTCGGTCTTCACTTGTTCCATCCTTTTCCACCCTATTTGCTCTGCCACCACCACCCCCTCGTCAAGTCACGCGTCAGCAGGCACTGGCACGCTGAAGTTGTACTGCTGGTCGAGTCCCACGTACGAGTCACACACGACATAGAGGCTTAACGCCACCGCACCGCTCTCTGCGAACTCGGCCCAGTCGTCGTCCCACTCAAAATGCAAAGTCGCCTCCACACGATTCACTAACCGATTCACACGCTTCAAGGCAATTAGCTCCCCTGTTTTCTCGTTCCCCACCACAAGCCAAAACTGCTCGTCCTTTGGTTTTGTAAAGTGAGGGGCCACGACGTGTTTGGTCTGCAGGGAAAGACGTGTGAGATGCACTGTCAACGCGTATTCCGCATCAGCCGCCATTCCTGACACATCGTCCAAGTGCCCCTCCCCATCATTGTTCGAACTCGGCGCGGGAGGATGCAAAAGGCGTAGTCGCACGTCAATGAGAGGAAACCCGTTTACGGCCGCCATCGCCTCACTAAGCTGCATTGCATTCAAACCACAGTCGTCGCGGAGCACCTCTTGTAGGGTTTGCAGTGCAGCGAATGAACTATTTGCAACTTGTGCCGCATGCTCAAGGCTACCACAACGTGCAGCAATCGTGGGTAGCATCCCTGCCGTGACGTGTGGTATCTGAAGTAGAGTGTTAGAGTGCCACCAAAGGCCCTGCACGATGCACTGCAGCAACGACATACATCGCAGCGCGGCGTACAGGTGTCCGTTGTTTGACGCGATGTCGACCATCGCCTGCACGACACGCACGGCGTTGTCAAGGGCCGACTTCAGGTCCGTGTAGTAATCCGAAATAGGTAAACTGGCCCGCTCAAAATGCGCCTGAAAAAGCAAAAACGCCTTTACATGGGGTGATTCCGCATTGTTAGGATTGATCGGCAATGGCAAGGATTGACTAAGCACCAGGTTGAGTTTGTCCTCATTGTGTCGCACAGGCAACTCATTAAACTCCTCTGCCTCACACAACGCCTTGAGTATATCAACGTGTGTACTGTCGGCATGAATATGGACGTCAAAGTAACGAACTGTCTTGTGTGACAGATAATAGTAGGAGCATAGCCTGCCAAGGACAGTACACATCAAGGCGTCCTGGTCCTTTTCATTATCACTGTCAGCAATATGTATTCCCTTATCATCCTCGTCATCCCCGTCTTTATGCGACGTGATGCAACCACAGGCCTCAAGCTCGTCCAGGACGTTGGCAACAAGGGTGGAGATAAAAATTGTGACCGCCTTCGGCGAGCGATCCTCCATGCCGTAGTAAGACGGGTTCTTCACTAATCGACGAAAGAGATACGTCCACGTCAAGTAGTCCACGGCATCTTGTCGAGACGTAATGGTTCCAGCAACGACCTCAGCGTTGATGTGTACATGCAACTGTTGGTGCAGTGCACTCTCCACCGGAAAGGGATCGTAGAGAAACTTGCGGTAGAAACCCTTTTTGGGCTCGTGGCACAAGACCTGTGCAACACCTTCATTATCAAACTGCGGACGGCCCGCGCGGCCAATCATCTGCAGCACGTCGGTAATGGGATAGTCCACGTAGGTTTTGGTTTTCCCGTCGTAGTACTCGGTGCCCTTCACTACGACCATGTGTGCGGGAAAGTTGACGCCCCACGCGAGTGTCGAAGTCGCCACTAGAATCTGCAATTTTCCAGACAAAAATGCATTTTCCACCTCAGTACGGTCCCCCTCCAGAAGACCGGCGTGATGAATGCCAACACCAAACTGCATGCAGTGTTTTACGTAGGGATCGCTGACCCTGTTGGTAAGCGCGGTTACTTCCTCCACGTCCATGCGCACAAACTTGGCCGTGTTTTGCTCCGTCAAGAGAAACCCTATAAGAGCCATTGCCGTCAGTCGTGTCTGTCGCCGCGAGGAGACAAACACAATCACAGGCTTGTCGGGGCTCTTTTCACATATCGCATTATAGGCTGGTTTGTTCATCGCCGCCATGCGAGGGCAGTAATTCCTTCCGTGGTGGCCAGAGATGTACACACGCATTGGAACCGGTCGTACCGAAGGATCAAAGTTAAACACCGCCCACTTCTCTTGTACGCCAAGCCAGGAGCTAAGATCGGCCGGGTTGGCCACGGCGGTGGATAGACCAACAAGACGGATGGGTGCCTTACGATGCCAGCCAATGTAGCGCATGCGGCTGACAATCACCTCAAGAATGGGGCCACGGTCAGAGCCAAGCATATGAATCTCATCAAAGATCACCAGCCGCACCGCCGTCACGTAGCGGCGCACCTGCCAACTACGCGAGAGACCATCCCACTTCTCAGGGGTTGTGCATAAAATGTCCGCCCGTACCAAGGCGGAGATGTCGGGGTTTACGTCACCGGAGAGCTCCAATACACGTCGACCAAGACGCCGATCAAATCGTGCGCCCCAGTCCCGTACTCGCTCCTTCACGAGCGCCTTCAGCGGTGCAATATACACAATCTTCGACCCGGGTGGACACTTCTCAAATACGCGCAGCATCGCCATCTCCGCTGCCACTGTCTTGCCACTACCAGTCGGAGCCCCAAGGAAAATACTGCTATCCGTGTGAAACATAGCATGAAACACCTGTGTTTGCACCGCGTTAAACTGTGGGAACCCTTCGTAAATGGAATGGTAAACTTCTGGTATCACTTCACGACGGAGAGGCGCGAGAGGAAGAAGCCGCGTTGTCACTTGTGCATCATCCGGCAGGTGCAGATGCCCAATAGAAAACGTAAAATCCTCCTGGCTGCCGAGCCACCGGTCACTGTAAAAGCGTACTGAGTACATCTCGTACTCGGGGACAATTGGAAGCGAAAGGTCGACGATTACCGGAGCGCCCATCTCCACCTCCTTCCGCTTTAGCAAGACTACCTCATGGTGAAAGATAAAATTATTATCCTGGTCCTCAACAAACAACCAGAACTGCTCCACGGAGCCGTGATGGCGGCTGTTCCAGGTGAAGGTCGGGGTGATGGTTATCTTCACACGAAGAATTGTACGTGTGATGGGCTGCGCATCAAGGCTTAGGTTCACTGCGGGAAACGATGCCACCAACCCGGCAATGACACCACCCATACGTTGATTGTGCACCAACAACCCAATCTCACGCGCCGTCATCTCCTGCAGAAGCATCATGCTCGGTCGCTTCTGCTCGAGATGCCTCTCGACGGCGTCTGTGAAGTCCACGCTGAACTGTTTCAAGGGGTGTTCAAATCCCCAGCAGCGCCGCTCCATACACTTGCAAAGGGTCAAAAACACAGCAGTAGTTAACGGATGGCCGCGTTGCATCTCAATCTCAAATAGTGCCCTCGAAATACGAGGCACATTTTGCATCACATAATTAATGTCCGAGGCCAGTGAATGCATATCAACATGAATGCGACTAATGTACGCTTTCATGAGAGTCGTTACTTTCCACTCGACACTTGTCTCATCTGTGCTTTCCCCAACAATCGCATAGCGCTGCACCTGCTTGGGCAGCATGGCGTGTATCTTTTGCAACTCATCAAGCTCCTCCTGTCGTACACGCAACTGCGAAAACTCACTTGCGGAAGCAATGGTATCCATGGCTGCACCCATGTCAAGACTATCAATCCATGTCTCGTCAGGTCGCCGCAGCTTTCGGTTAAACGTCGCAATGGTTTCATGTGAAATATAGTAATGACTTGCAATGCGTCCTAGATCTGTGGTATCGACCGCACCCGTCTGTTGATTGTAGCGAATCATACCAGCATTCGCCAGCTCCTCTGCAACCTTACTTACGAGCTCGTACCGTATGGTTTTAATCTTCGGGTCGCGGCGTACATCTGCAATTTTCAAGCCGTACATAAGCGGGTTCACCCGCAACCGCTGCCACATATATGTGTACTCTAACCATCTGGAGCCTTCAACAATGGAGGAGATAGTCCCGGCGTGGATTTCCGCGTTAAGGTGGTCGGCAAGATTTTTCTGCAGCTGGCTTTCAATAGGAAGTGCATTGGCCAGGAGGCGAAGGTAATGCCCTACGTCCTTTTCGTCTGATACGATGATGCCATGGCCACTTGTATCGTACTGCGGCCTGCCTGCCCGTCCAAAGATCTGCATCACGTCAAGGACGGAGATGGGAACAAGACCCCCACGACTTGGGTCATACAAACGTGTCCCGCGAATGATAACGGTGTGTGCTGGCAGATTCACGCCCCATGCAAGAGTGCTGGTGCAGACGAGCACTTTTATGAAGCCATCGCGGAACAAACCCTCTGTTGTAGTTCGGTCGTGTCGAATCAGGCCGGCGTGGTGAACACCAAAGCCGGCCGAGAAGAGACTTGTGAGATCGCGGCCTTGGAGGCTACCGCCCCGCTTTACCGCCTCCGTCGGCAAGGTGCCGCTCGGTTTAAACAAACTGTCCTGGGCGTGTATTGTTGCCACCCCAACAAAGTACTTGGCAAGCCCAACGGTTTGTTTCCGCGAATGCACAAACACCATTACTTGGTGCCCCTCCCGCACATTTCTCACCACCTCAGTGTACGCAAGCCAATCTAGCTTATTCTCCTTGTCTTTTACACCAGTGTGCAGCCCTAGAAATGTCTGTTCAAGTGGTACCGGGCGGTATTCAGGACCAAACACCTTGAGCCCTTCCTCAAGGTCAACTTGCAGAAATTTGGCTACATCCTTGTAGTTGGGTAACGTTGCAGAAAGACCAACAAGGCGCGTCGGTCGTTGCTGGTCTGCATGCAGTTCATCCTGACGCAGGGTCCTAGCAACAATGGCCTCAAGCACAGGACCGCGGTCTTCATTCAGCAAATGAATCTCGTCAATAATAATCAGACGAACCTGCTGTACAAAGCCCTCGTTACTTTGCTTGCGCGTAATGACATCCCACTTCTCTGGTGTTGTCACTATGACCTGCGTCTGGGCAACCTCTCGCTTGGTAAGCTGCATATCGCCCGTGAGCTCCCGTACGACCATTGCAAAGGGCGCTAAACGACGTGAAAAGTTTTCTACCATCTCCTGTGCAAGTGCCTTCATGGGGGCAACAAATATTATTTTGAAGTCACGATCCAGAGTACCATCCACAAAGTGCTCCTGAACGCAGCGCAACATCACCAGCAGGGCACAGATCGTCTTGCCCGCACCCGTCGGCGCACACACAAGCATGTTCTGCGACGTGTAAAAAGCAGTTCGAAATAGCATAGTCTGAATGGTGTTGAGATGCGTGACGCTGAGAAAGGCAGCGTGCGTCCACGCCGGTAGGGAAGTGGCAACACACACACGCTCAGTCATGGGCATCACCTTCTGAGCAGGTGGAGGGACGTGAATACGAATGTGGTCCTTTTTCTGCGCCACAGTGGCCCCACTGGTCACGGAAGAGCCACTAACACTAAGATCACGTTTAAAAATCTGATCCAACTCCGATTCTCGCATGAGTTGTCGATACCGCTGTGTCATGTGTGCCAGCCAACGCTGATCCATTGTCTCCCCATTACGCGCAAACACCACCTCCCGCATATCTGAACGCTGCTTTGCCGTCTTTACAAAACGAACCGTTAGTGCGTGTTGTGGGCAGGCGGCGGAACTGTTTCCAGTGTCCAAACTGCCATCGTCATCCTCAAGAGTACAGAATTCCTGCAGGAGGCGAAGGAAGATGTCACGTGGTCGGTGCATGACACACTGAAGGAGATCGTAGTGCTCGTCGCCAAGAGTCTGCAGCAGTTCGTCAATGACACGCACCCGCACGGTATCCCGTTGCTTCTCTGTGTCACATGCCGTAACCTTGTCAAGAGCATTTAAAATAATTTGCGTCATGCTTTCATCAAAGTAAACATATATCTGTGACACGATATCGTCCACGCTCGAGAGCAGCATATCCAGTGGAACCTTGCGGCTCTCCTGGCATGCGGAGCGTCCCACACATCCCACATGATCGCCACGTGGTGAAAGGGGCTCACCAGAGTGCGACACCACCGTGATGGTTTGCTGTCGCTGCATAAACTGCCCAACAAAGGAACCCGCGCGCTGCTGCTTCTCTGTTCCAGTCACGATCATCGAAACATCCTCCAAAAGGCTTGTCGCGTAGTTTTTGGGGCGCAGTTGGTGAAAGCAGCTTGCGTACATACCCTCCAGTCGCTGCAGGGCACCCTGGGCATCGTGGCCCCAACTGTTCATGGTGGTGGACTCTTTTCGGCGCGGAACCCCTGCCTTTTGGGGCTTATTCTCTCTCTCCCCACAGCTATGACCCTTCACCGCACTACCCACGACGTTGCCGTTGCTGCCGTTGTAGGCCGACCAGCAGGCTGTACAATACCACTTCTTGTCCTGGGGATCCTCGGCGCCCTCGTCGTACGACCTGCACTGCTGGCACAAATTCCTCCGGGGCATGGCGTCCGAGAACCCCAACAGAGAACCACTTGAAGGACCCCCCCTCCAAAAAAAAAAACTGCTACTTCCCTGCTGCTAGTCTCAAAGGAGAAATGAAACAACCCTTGAGCTGCCTGATAGTGAGAGAGGAAAAGTGCTGAACAACAAAAAAACAAAAACAAAAAAAGAACAACATTTTGTACTTTGCTTCAAGCAACACACGTTGCCACAAGGAGCTTTTTTCCTTTCGTTGCCCGTGTTACTGACAGATCGGCCAGCCTCCTGTCATTTTGGGAGAGGTGAAGGAAAAAAAAAACAACTCATACCGCTGCAACTTATTCTTTACTGAAATTTAGCACGATCCCTCGTCCATTTATTTCTCTTCGTGAAAAGTGGGTATGGGACGCACGTACGCTTAAAGAACCCGCCCTCCTCCACTCTTTCCGCTGATTTTCTTCTTGCGGGTATGCAATGGCTTCATTGGCTTCGACTGTCTTCTGCCTGACTAGCTGTAATGCAAAAAAATAGGTGTCTGTAGATGATCTGTAGACCCTGCCATCGTCACACTCCACGACTTCTCCGACTCTTTGCGAGGCCTCCGCGCGGCGAGTGCCTCATCGTCAAGGGCGCGGTAATAATCATTCACACGCATCAGAGAGGTGAGGCTGCAGTATGGGACAGAAACCCGGCTATCCAGGCTATGGTACCTGGGGCAACAGTGCTTCACCGCCAACGCCACTGCCTCCGCGTGTGTCACCATCATAATACGGGCTGGGGGCAACAGCATCGCACTTTCTTCACGTGCCGTTGTTATTGCTGACCCCATCACTGATCGATGCACAAATCTACGAGGCAAATGCTTTGCTTCCTGCACCTCAGCCTCCCTAACACATATGGGCACCCCAGCAGCTTTCCCTTCCTTGGCGTCAAAACGCACCTGAATAGCCTCCCCAACTCGACGCAGCATATGTGTCGTGTTCTCCGGGTAGTTAATACCCGTGAGGTCACCACTAGTGCCGCCCAAAACACGATGCACCGCACCACCACCCTGAGCGCAAGCATTCCTGTGCAACGACTGTCGCATCGAGGCGGAGGTCCAAACTAGAAAAGAAGGCTTCTGTACACATCGCGCCTCAAGCACCGACAGCCATCGCGTGGCCATGACCTCGTCAATGCCGTCTTCTGTGACACCCCCAGCAGAGCGAAAAAACGTCCCCAAAGATGCGCACAAAGTTTCCCAGTGTGGCCGAAAGTTGATTGTGTCTGTGGTAAAAATATACCTACCACCCAACCTCGGTGGACGGGAAAACAACTTTGTGGAGTGCCATTCTGACAACAAGGGGTCGACAAACATGGCAAGCTTCCCGTCGAAGCCGACGATGTTCACAATGAGAGCTGTCTCAACGCAACGGTGAAAGGGGGAAAAAAGCAGCAATGAAATCATCCCTAACGCCCGCTGTCGTACCTTCCCATGCTTTCGTTTGCGAAAAAACATGAGCCCCGTCTCAAGCGCCTGCCGTCGACCAGCAGCAGAGAGCGGGGGATCGGTCTCTGGTAACAGCGAGGTGGTCCGCCATGCCCGATCCACGTGGTCCAGTCGTTCCCCGTGACGCAGCAAGAGCAGTTGATCCGTAAACTCAACGGATTCCAGCTGTTGTGCCTTTGTTAGCTGCCGCTTAGAGGCCTGTGCAAGCTGCACACACGTCATAAAGACGACAGATCCAATCTCAACGTCAGCTGCAGAGGGAGGAGGTGAGGCCCCATCACAGTGAGAGGGCTTTGCGACATCACCGGCACGCGTGATGCACAGCGTGCGAAGCAGCCATACGAAAGCGGCTCCAAGCGCGACTGCCCCCCACGCTTGGAACAGAAATAAAAGAGAAAAGGCCAGGGCCCAAGCGCTGACTGCGGCATTGCACGCCGAAGAAAAAAAATATTTTTTTTTACCGAAAAAAGTTTAAAAAAACAAAAACGGTGAAGAAAAGAAAAGAAAAAAAGCTAAGCGTAACAAAATGACGGCAAAAACACAATTAAAGTAAAAAAGCAAAGAATGGAGTGAAAATCCAATGCCACACGTATGAACTTGCTTTCTCTCGCTGTCGGCCTCGCGCCTTTGCTTCATGTCTCACAAGAGCGTTGACGCACGACACTGTAAAGGAAAAAAGACGGGTGAGGGCAGCGAAGCAAAGAGAATAACAAAATAAAAAAGAAAAGAAAAGAAAGAGATGGGAATGATAACACTGTGCGGGTGCGCCCATACAGAAACCAATAACATTTCAAGAGGATTACTTTGAGGACTGTCCCAGTTGACCCTTCTGAAGCTCTTCTCGAAGTTGGCCATACATCTGCATGAGCAGATCATGTTGGGCGGCGAGAACCAAAAGTTTTTGCTTCGCTTCCGCACCCTCTTCTTCCACGCGGCGGAGTCGCTCAATCTCAACAGCTTGCCGCACCAACTCCCGGTCCACACGACTCCGGTTGCTGCGGCAAACGTTACTAACCGACTCGACAGCATCCGCCGGGAACAAAGGGCGCAGTGTGCCGCCACTACTTTCATCAAAGGAAGGTGGTTGATGTCTTGCACTTTCCCCCATTCTCACATTAGGAGTCAAAGCTATTGTGCTATTGTTGCTGTTGCTAGCGCTATCCACTTGCCTCCGCGCCTCCTCTAACGCCATTGTCAGTTGCTCCTTCGTTGCTTCCACATGGGAGGCGCGTTCCAGGGAGTTCTCCAAAGCCCTTTGGAGCTGTGAATGTTTTACTCTACTCTGCTGCAGCTCCTGTTCGAAGGCGAGCTTCTCATTCTGCATCGATTGTATCTCACTCTGCATATCAGCTAGTCGTTGTGTGAAATATTTCTTCTCGGATTCCCGCCCCCGCTCCATCGCAGAAAACTCTCCTTTCCAGTACTCCACCTCCTCCATTAGCTGCTTCTTCTGCCGTTCCACATCGTCCAACGCAGCTCGAAGCTCCCGAAGGGGCGCCAAGGCAGAGCGTTCATGGTCTGTGAGCCGCATCTCTGCATGGGCAGTGCGACGATTCGCTTGAATAAGTTTACTTTCCAGTTCCTGAATTCGCCGCTCATACTCCAGCTGGTTCTGTTGCAACGATGACACAAGAGCCTCCTTCTCCTGCTGCATGGACACCAGCATGCCTGAGGTGTTCTCCTTCTGAAGCTTCAGCTCCGTCCTTTGCTCAGAGATTTCCTTCTCGTGGTGTGACACAACCTCTGCGTAACTCTGCTTGGCGCTGGTCAGCTGCTGCTGCAGTAACCGCACGTCGCCCTCCTGCTCCTTTAGAAGCGCACTAAGTTCCTCCGCACGCTGCTTTGCCGTCTCACAGTCGGTGTGACTAGCCGCTATACGTTGTTGAAACTCCTCTTCCCTCAGCGCAAACTGAGCAATCTTCTGCTCTAACACCTCCAACCGGTTTTCCACTTGCGTCTTCTTTTCGTAGAGCGACTTGTACCGCTCACGCTCTTTCCCTAGCTTTCTGGAGAGCTCCGAACCCTCCCGCTCCAGTGCCTCCATCTTCTGCATGTTCGCATGAACGGCGTTCTTCTTTAACAAATGAAGACTGCTCAGCTCTTTTTCCAGGAAAACTATACGGTGTTCAAGGCGGTTTTTCTCCTCCCGCAAAAGCCGTGACACCTCCATTTCGTCTGCTAGCAGCTGCTGAAATCGCAGCAGCTGCTCCTCGCTTCCGCCGCCTGCCAATGAATTGCACTCGACGCCATCGGGATGTAATGATGCGATGTGCTGAGCAGTAGAATGGACAGCTTTAAGAGTTACGGAAGCAAGCGTAGTTGTATCTGCTGTTAAATGCGGCGCAGCACCTGCTGGAGACTCAGCGACCTCCTCAGGCGTCACCGATTGCAACGGTGACCGTTCATGTGAAATTGGATCCGCTTCGCTACCCTCAACAGCCTCCGTTACTGAGTCAGTCAGTTTTTCATTGGGTGTGGCCGATACTTCGTACAGTGCGCTCTTTGCACCACACGAGACGGGTTCCATCAACATTCCTCTTTCCTGTGAATGTGGCTGCAACTCCACCGCCCCGTTACTAGAGGTGAAAACGCCTTCTACATGAGTCTCCTGCTGCACTTCGGGTGTCAGTGTAGGGTGAAAAAGCAAGTTTCTGTCACCACCGGCCCCTTTCCCAGCTGTCACCTCCTCCTCGGTCTTTTTCGTGCCCTCCAACTCCAAACACATCTCTTCTCTCTTGTTCTCCTCTTCACCCTCCTCCTCCTCCTCTTCCTCCTCCTCCTCGTAGACACCACCTATGGCTTGCTCCGCGAGTCCGGAAACATCGTCCAGCTTCTTGTGTATCTGATCCAACCACGACCCCCACATAGCAACGCAGCCTACCAGCCAGTGAAGGGGGAACAACAAATAAAGAAGAAATAAAAACAAAAATGCATTGAACATGTGCTCTTTCTCTTCTACACAGGAAGTACGGGACAGATCATTTGCACCCACACACCCATACACCCCAAGAGCCTCTCACTTGAACACACCATAAAACCGTAAAAGTACATGACAAAGTGCAACCACTCCACCACCACGCGGTGAGAATCTCCATTTCCATCCTCGTTGCCCACAGCAGAGACAGCCCTCTCTAAACTTGTGTCTGTGACTATTTTTGTTGTTGTCGTTATTGCTTGTTGGTGGTCCTCTCACCTACCTGCTGACGCTTGCTGGCCAATAGTTTTCCTTCCGCTGCACTCCCTCGTTGTCTAACTCGGTCGAAGAAGGTAAATACAAAAAATCCTCCGCGTTGTCACTCGCGAGCCTGCCACACGGACGCCTCGGGCGACGCTCCGTCTGGTCCGTCCGCACTCATCGTCGCCATCAAGTGACATACTCGTCGGGTTTCCGGTTCCGCCGGGCGTTGGCAATTATCACCGCGGATGCAGCGTTCCAGTGAACCCCAGAGCCTGAACCAGTCGCAGAAGAAAACAAAACAACCTCTTCTCTCCGTAATGTCGCCCCGGCGTATCCAGCGCCTGCGCAGTTTAGCGTACTGCCCGATCGAAACGACGGATTGCAGAGTGAAGAAGAGAAGGGCTGTAAAAAGAAGAATAAGAAACGGCATGTGGTACGACGTCACGGTGGCAAGCATCGCAATCCCCCATACGTTTTGTAGCAAAAGGAGAGGAAAGGATGTCATTGTGTCGTACATCACAACCGCCTTCTGCAATATCGAGGTCAAGGCACCTGGTGCTTGGCTGCTCGCCTGCATGATGTACAGATCATAGTACATCAAGAGGCATGGTGCAAAGGGAGTGAGTGGGGCAAACCACAGAAATCCCAACGCACCGGAAATCGGTTCCACTCGAAGCTGTGCCCGCCCAAGAATGACAGCAAAATAGGAGTAGGCTGCTGACAAGAAGAGGTTTGACAAGAGAAACTGCAACAGCGTCAAGGAGCCAAGCAAGACATCCCCAGCCACCCAATACCCGCAGCAGAGCGCCAGGTTTAAGCCGTAGACTGCAAGACGCAACAAGGCGTGAAATAAAACACCAGAATAACGGTTACGCAGCAAGACCAGCAGAAACATCAGCAAGTAGAAAATCGGCAGGCAACAGTAAAGGGTAACTGCGTCAGGAAAAGGGAACACGCGGCCAAGGACGCTTTGCCAAGAGAGTACCTCCATCACAAGGCCAATGCAACTCCCGAGATAACCCACAAACAAAAGCGTTAACAGCATAGCGGTTGCTGCTGGTGGTAGCTCACGCCAAAATAGCATCATCGTGGTAACCAATAAAAGTACCATTACTGTAACTATTGTCGCAGGAATCCATGCATACCATTTATGAATAGATCCTTGGCGATTCGTGAGTAAAAGCAAGTAAACCACACAGTTGGGCGAAACGTGAAATAAGACTGGCCAACGCATGTCTCTCGTTGAGAAACTAAGAGAGTATGTCGTGGATTTTCCCACATCCACTGGAATAAAATAAGACACCTCCTGATTGTACTGAAGAGTGACCTCTATCTGCGATGGCGTCTGACACGATGCGTTAATACCGGTGACGGCTAACGCAAACACACGCGCTGCGGTCGTCTCTGTGCCGTCTATTGCCGCCTCTAGCGGGTTCCAGAGGAACTTGCATTTATTCGCGGCGTGAAAATGTGGATTCAATTCAAAAATCACCACCATGTTTGGGTTCATCCCTGCCTCGGAGTGTATGATCTCCTCTATTTCACTCCCCAGAGAGGCTCGTCCAAAACGCAGTTCAGAGCCCGCAAGAGGAGTTGGGAGCGACCGCGCGCCTAACGCAGGTCGCTGGAAGGCCCACGCAGGACCAACCATCCACTGGCTATCCGCTGGTATCGTCGTGCCGCACGTAGCCTCCACCACTGTGAGCGCCGTTGCCCCCACCACCACTGAAAAGGACGTAGCCCTCAACAAAAACAGAAGTGTCGATATAAGTAAGAAAAGAAAAAGCCGCCCGTGCTGCATCGGTTGCCTCCCCCTGAATAGACTGCCTCCGCTCATCTACGCAATAAAACCCTCCAGTCCGTCTAAATGAGAACAAGATAATTAAGAGGGCAGCACACAAACGAAGCCAAACAAACTTACGTGCATATATAAGCGTACGTGCCTGTGTCTGCACCGTAGTCCAATGTACCTGGCGTTAAAGCGGGAAAGAATCCTTGCTAGGCAATTGTTCGCTTCGCTTCAGAGCACACTACTACCCCTCCTCTCCACCAGCGCCACCTTTTATTATTTCCTCAAAAACAAAACAAAAAAGTGTGCAAAACGCACAGTAGTGCCGCAATCACGACGCGTGTCGTGTAGACAAGCATTATTAGATCGTCTTCTGCGTCACCGTACTTCGACAGACACATACGCATACACATACGCATACACATACACATACACATACACAAAAACAAATTAAAGAAAGCACCGGCGTTATCATACGCCAATTTGTAGCTCGGCCCGCAAAACACCAGCATTCCTCCGGGTCATGCCAGTAACAGAAAAATGGAACGCCGGAGACGTAGCAGAATCCGCGAAGGAGTGCGGTTATGCACTCCTTAGCTTCTGTCTGTTGGAGTATATTTTTTTTTCGCTTCGGCCCCTTTTTATTATCTTCTTCCTAATTGTGGCACATTTTGCGGGTCCGCGTCCAATGGGGGGAAAAAAAAAGCAAAAGTTTGCATATACAGAAAAGAAGGGGGCATAACTTCTCACATCATGTAGAAAGTTTAACGTAGATGAATGCTTTTCTTCCTGCGTCCCAAAACATCCAGATGGTCAATTTTAATACCCTCACCAGGGACATACGGTTTCAGCTCCCGCTGAGGCTGCGTCATGAGCCTGCCGCGCGCACGTTTGAGCTCCTCCTTGGCGTCAGCCTTAATACGCTGATGAGCATTGACCACCGCCGGTTCAAAGGCCTTGAGAGCCGCCAGAAGCTCCGTCTCCGTGAGGGTGTCCAGCAAAGCGCCAATGTACTCAATGAGTGCCATCGCAAAGGCAACCTCGGCGGCAAGTGCAGACATTGCGTTGTTTTGGTCAACACGAATTGCGCTTGCGGGCTTTGCTGCAGAATTGTTTTCCACCGCCGCCGTATCGTTCATGTCCGCCGCGGCAAAGTCGTTGCACTGCCCCACAGTGAGCGAGGGAATAAGAAGATTGAGAATGCTTGAGTGCAGGACCGCCCTGTCGTGGCAGTCAAACCCAGCCTCCCTGATCTTCTTGCGTGTCTCGTAGGTGAGAACACGCGTACCTGCCGGATCGTGTTTGATGCCTGTGGAGAAGAAAATCCAAAGGTGGTCCAGAGTGTCACGAAGTTCAGAGACACCCATCTTGCAAAGCGAAGCCCGCGCCAACTCCTGCAAAAGACAAATACGCTCCTTGCGCTGAAGTCGATAGGACAACTCCCGCTCGCGCGTAAAGTTAAACGACTTTTCCCCATTGTTGAAGGCCTCCGCGCAGAGCCGCAGACGTGTCAGCACTTCATGTGAGCGAAGGCAGCACCACCTTTTCATAATGACATCGCCAATCGAGCGCACATCATCCACAGGCGTGGATCGCGGCAGGGGCTTCGTCGCGGCAGCACTTTTTGTTGACCCATTCACTGAGGACTCCGCCGCCGCAGCATTACAAACCAGCGGAGCCCTATCCTTCCATTCACTCACAAGCACGTGGTGAAACGCATCTACCCATCGACTGTCAGATATGAGGTTGACCCAAACGTACTGGGAATCCTTTGGGATGATGCAGCAGGAGCCCGTCAGTGTTGGGGAAGTGAGTAGCTCAACATCCGCATGTACGTCCTTCACCTCCTCAACACTCTTTTGCCGAACAACGTTGTAGCGAATACTGAGCACCGGGCACTGCATCGCACTCTCCGCGGCCTGCATGGCCTCCTGCGCTGCCTTCTCTGGTTTTTCAAGGGGATTGGTTGACGTCAAGACAACAACCTCTTCAAACTTTCCCTTCGACGCAAAAGAAACCTGCTGGACACCATAAAACATAATATACGGCTCCGTCTGCCGCGTCACCTCTTCCACCTCCAACACCAACAAGGCTTTCTCCAGCCCCATAGGGAGTTCGAAGTCCACACCCGCATTGTAAAAGGGGGCATTGGAATTCTCCTGAAGTCCAGTTGTAAAAACATCGGAGAGGGCCTCCTGTAGATCACTCTTAAAGAGAAAAATACGCACACGAGTTGAGCACGCACACGGGTCATCCTCCGTCTGCGGATAATTGCGTCCACGCAACACATCCACGTGAAGCAGAATTGCTCGCGACATCCACCAAGTACTGCCACACAATCACCACTACGCCGTTTTTCCTTTTTTCCTTTTTTTTTTTTTGGACAAAGCAAAAAAAAAAAAAGGTACACCTACCCTGCTAAACAACGTGTAAGAATCCACGTATGCGTGCGCATGTGCACATGACCGTCGCCAAGTTCACCCACAGAGCAACAAAAAAAAAAAAAAAGACACACACATATCAAATCAGAACAACAAAGCCCACCCCAACACAACCACAAGTATCTTCTTTTTTTTTAAGCAAAACACACAAACAGGATAACTCGGCATCCTCCAACACAAAAAGTTAATAAATAAATTAAAAATAACTTCAAAAAAAAAATGACGATAGTTGAATACACACGGCAAAAAAAAAGAAACCCTTTTCGCACACACACACACCCCCTCCCCCCCAGAGACTACGATTACACTCCCAGAACCTCAGAGAGGCGATGGCGTCGGAGTCACTCGCAAAAAACACAGGCCCCATCAATCGTCTCCACTCCTTTCCTTTTTCGGGGTCGTAGTAGCAAACAAACGTGTCACCCCCGTGACGCGTCCTCCCTTGCACCCCCACATTGCGAGACCCCAACAGAACGACGCCCGCCACGCAGAAGATACACACACACACACAGATCCACCTTGGCGATCATTGCAGTTGGGAGGCATTTTTCCTAAGCGTTATTATTGTGCTATAGTTGCTAGTAACAGTTGTCGAAGTTGGACCCATCCTCCCCATTGGGGTTGCCCCGAACATTGCACCAATGGCCGGGAGCAGAGTCAAAAAAAAAATAAAAAAAAACATTCCACTTTCTTTCCCCTGATACACCTACACTTCTACAGTGAGAACTTCTCATCGTGGAAACTTGCACCAAGCGAAAGGGC